ATGATTGTAAGTATAAAGCGCGGGCAATATTGGTTGCGCTACTCGAGTATTTAAAGGTAAAATCGAAGCCCAACATTCGCGACCCCACAGCTAACATTTTTGCCTGTTCGAGAAATTTGAATATGATGCGCACACAATGTGGGTTTAAGTATATAGCTTTGGCAATTAGACTGCTATAATATTAGGTATTTTCGAATGTAAAAAAAAAAAAAGTCTTGCTCGTGAGTTCAATTGAGGTATAAGCTACGGTTCTTGATCAAGGTTTTAGAATATTCTGACTGTTGGGCTTTCCCGATCACATGTGTCGAGTGTGTCACAAGCCGCATTTGACGCATGATCGGAACACTCAGTTTGAGATACTGATAATGCACCTTTTAATTGTCTAGCGCATGGAGGTCGTCCCTTTAAGACACCAATCTCTACCATTCACCACTTGATGTTTGCAAAGCACCGGTTCAAGCCATAAACTTATACAACCAGCGACCATTATTCCAAACGAGTCACTTATTCCCACGCAGCCCATCGCAAATTCCCTTGAGCTTTGTGAAACTTGCTCGCTGACCAGCATAAATGTGTTTACGTACAGTAAACCACCGAGTAGGCCTTCATAAAGAAAGAGTAACGACATCTGCCATAAGCGGAAGAACGGTCGATCGAATAGGGCTTGAAATATCGTAAGAATAACATTAACAAATTGAAGTAATGTTAGCATGTATAGCTGGCGACACCTGAAACCAAACAAGGTGGAGGACCTCGAGATGAAGACCCCCACTTGATAAAGAAACCCGTAGAAGACATAAATATCACGATAGTCCTTGAATAGCCACGCGGGAAGATCATCTAACGGGAAGAGAAGAGTGGGTGAGATCCCTTGGTTGATGACATACTCACAAATGTATACGGAGCATAGTGGAACCATATACGGAAAAACCAAGGGCAACATTCTTCTTAATGTCGTGACAATGTGGCTTGTGACCCTGTCTGTAGTGAGAGGTGTCGAATCGATGCCATTCGAATCTGGTGTTCTTTCCTCGTTCATGTCAATCGAGTCATCATTAGAAGGTATCGCCACGTACTCAGTCGTCGATGGCGGTAGTAAATAATGAAAGGCGATTAGATGACAAAATGGAAGTATCGAAAAAATCACTAGCGCCTTCTTGGCCGGGATGTGTAGGATGTTCGTAAAGAGTAAGAAGAGGAAACTTCCCGCAATCCCAGCTGCACCGGTACCAGCGGAGAAACCGCCAATTGCCATATTTCTTGGATAATAATGAGTAAGCAGGAGAAACGACACCTCGCCAATTCCAGATGACGCAGAAGCCATACAGATCCCTGAAATGATGGCTGAAGTGCTACTCGAGGTAAAACTTATCAAAAGCATACCAGGTATCGAAAGCACTACCAACGCAATTAATCGGTGGCTATACGCGAACTGATGTATGACGAGAGGCGCTAACATTTTGACAACCAACGCTGGGAATATATCTGCCAATAGAACCACACCCTTCGGAGTCGCAGAACCAACCAAATCGATAGCAGCCGATAATATCACAACATACAAAATGTTGTTTACTAGCCCAAAGGTTAGAAAGGAAATGAAAACTCGTCGCTTTGTAGTCAAATGTAGCGTCATGTCAACAATACCCTATCTGTCGATGATTGTGTAAAGAGACCTATGGTACTTCTGTGCAAAACGGTTGGAAACACCTGATCGCGAATTGAGTCCAGTGCCATATCTTACTTGTAAGATAAAGGGCATTTAGGACGTCAAGCCTTCAGAATTTTGCCAATTCAGCAATACGCAACTTTTCTTAGTCTGATGAATCGAAGCTATAGCTTAGAGAGCACAATGTGCAGAAATATCACTCTTCGAAACCCCAGTCCCTAATCAAGAAAGTCGCTACACAATTCTGGGCAAAGTCCGCCTACTCACTTTCCGGACTTTTCTTCTATCTTCCATGTTTCCTCATATTATTATCATTATGTTTATTATTGTTTATTTTATCTATGTGCCTTTTTTTTGACTTGCTTCGACTATAGATTGTGGCATTTCAAATATTCCTGTATATTTCTGATGACCTCGTGAATATCAAAATTTTCAATTGAGTCATCAGGCATTACATAAAGCAGCTCTGCGAACCTACTGCAATATTGTCAGAACAACATCATTAGTTGCCATGAGCCAAACGCCTATCCCTGAAGAGTACGACGATACAAGAATTATGGGATACGATCCTTTGATACCTCCTGCTCTCCTTCAAACGGAAATTAAAGCATCGAAGAAGTCCCTAGACACCGTCATAAAAGGCAGAATCGACTCTTCCAGAATTATCAGTGGAAAGGACGATCGATGCCTCGTCATCGTTGGGCCCTGCTCTATTCATGATCCAGAGGCTGCTATTGAGTACGCCAATCGATTAAAGAAGTTAGCGGGAGAGCTATCTGACGACCTTGTCATCATTATGCGGGCCTACTTGGAGAAGCCAAGAACCACTGTCGGGTGGAAAGGACTCATCAATGATCCTAATGTGGACAACACTTTTGATATAAACGAAGGTTTAAGAGTGTCAAGAAAGTTGTATGCTGATTTAACGGGAGAGGTTGGTATTCCAATTGGAAGCGAGATGTTGGACACAATATCTCCTCAATACTTCTCTGACCTCTTGAGTTTTGGAGCTGTTGGTGCTAGAACTACTGAATCGCAGCTTCATCGTGAATTGGCCTCAGGTTTATCTTTTCCTATCGGCTTCAAAAATGGCACAGATGGAAACGTGGGTGTCGCGTTGGATGCTGTCCAAGCGTCGTCTAAGGGTCACCATTTCATGGGTGTAACTAAAAATGGTTTAGCTGCGATCACCACAACGAAGGGTAATGATCACTGCTTTGTTATTTTGAGAGGAGGCAAAAACCTTACTAACTACGACTCTGAGTCCGTGAAAAATGCGAAGGCTGCGATTGCAAAAAGTACGAATCCAAACATTAAAATCATGGTCGACTGTTCTCATGACAATTCCAAAAAGGACTACAAGAATCAACCCTCTGTCTTACAGTCTGTCGTTGAGCAGATTGAGGCCGGAGAGCATGCATTGATGGGTGTAATGATTGAATCGCACATAAACGAGGGAAAGCAGAGCATGCCACCAGGGAATGAGGGAAAGGCTGCTCTCAAGTATGGCGTGTCAATCACGGACAGTTGTGTTTCATGGGAAACAACGGTGGATATGTTGAAGAACTTGTCTAAGGCAGTGCAGAAACGGAGAAGTGCGACTTAGTGAAAGTTTATATCTTTTGACAGCAGTTTCAGACAACAAATGATGTCAACGTCATTCATGAAGCGCATCGTTACCATGGAAAGTTGAGTTTTAAGTGTGCTGCCGGTGCTTCAACATCTTTCATCAAACTGAGCAATAAAGATATGTCAGGGTTATCCGATTTGTAGTTGTGCGTCTCCTTGAAAGGGTTTCGGCTCGTTCGCTTTTCCGTTAGGACAGGACCTAAGCCATAAAGGTCCTTTTCGAAAAGATTATATGTTTTTCTCTCGTTAGCCGCAATGTCTTCAAAATATTTTTCTCTTTTTGGCCCCTGAAAGTCCGGGCTTGGTGAATTTCCTTTGTAGTTCACGCATTTCAAATCAAACCCCAAAGCTCGCTGTAGGTGTAATTGTAAAAATCGGTCTTTTTTGAAATCAAAACCACAGATTGTTATACTCCTCGGATACCGACCACATACATCATAAAATCTGCAAATCAGGAAGAGAACATTCTCAAAAGAGTCCTTCGCAAATGGTTCGACGAAAATCCTACTTTCGATCTCATCGATCAGTTTGTGAACGATCTGTCGTCTTTTGAGCTCGAGCAACCGGTGATAACTCCCCGCTTCGGTCAAAGAGCCTGCCTCTACCTTTGTTCTGCCGCCAGAGATGACCAATATTGCCTTCTCATCCTCAAGAAGTGACTCTTGTCCTAACAAAAGATGGTCAATGAAGGCAAGGTGATCGTTCCCCTCCACTTGGAAGGTTTGCAAAAGCCATTCACCAGAATCTTCTCCGAGTCGGGCTCCGCCTGTCCATATAGAGTGACAAGGTACGATGATTAGATGTGTGTGTGACATTGTGCGAAGTAAACTTCGTATGTGAGTAAGCTATATATGCGACGCAAGGGTCACTTCATGTAAGTAAGTATAACAGCCAACGAGAGCATTCCAATGGCAAAATGCTGCAATGACCACCATCACGTGAAAAATTTGATGCCCGTGTCCAATGATGTCGAACGCTCCGTGCTGTTTTTTGTTTTTGATGTCAGATATTTGATCTGAGTAAACAAATCTTTCAGGAATTCTAGCCGCATAAATACAGGCACCGAATATGTAGAAGAAGCCCTCCCCAACTAGCCACTCCGCACTTGCGCGGTCTCTCGCATTGGGAAGGCCATACTTACCAATAGCTGTCAACACGGGTAAAATTCCCGAGAGGCCAAACAAAATGAACATGAGAGACCGAAAAGGGCGGTATGCTGGTGTCGAAAATTTGACATCAAATGTAAGTTTCGTACAAATTGTCCCCAACAATACGAAGAGGCAAACGAAGAAGGTTCTCAAGTATGGGGCATCATAAAATGCGAACAAAACGATTGAGTTAAGGGAACAAGTAATTAGAACTATTATTCCAAAATAGTCACACTGATTACCAAGCTTCGAGACTTTGTGAGAATGACACTTGAAGCAATGAAAAGATGCTGACAGAAAGAGGCAAAACGTCACAGCGAAGCCAAATTGATAGAAATTGAGGATTTCCCAAGCTCCCAAGTAGTTCTCATATTGTGGTAGGATATAAAAAATCTGATAGGAAATGAGCCACAATGATATTGAGGAGGGCAATAAATGGGAGTAGACATTGATGGACTCGTTATGCCAATAGGTTAACGATCTCAAGCAGTTGAGATAGCTCTTAGTTTCTTTGACATATCCCGAACGAATGAAATGATTATCTTGTTGCCACTCGGCTAGTTCATCAAAGAAGTACAATCGTTCAAGTGCTTGACATTCACCTTTATCAGAATCTTCTCTGGGTCTTCTATTAGTCAATGTTTGCATTTTCTCGCTCACCGCAGCAACTTGGAATCTCAGATCTATTAACCGGGCGCGCGCGCGCGCAGGTCCGGAATTGGTGGAATCAGTGAAAACTAGTTAAGTGTGTATGTATATGGTCGTTAGATGAACGAGCTGGGTATTTTCTGAATTAAAGTCCAATAAGAAGAAATTCTTTTCCCAGAAAATCTTGAAAATCTGTGATTGAAGAAATCGCCAGCGTAAAATAATTTCCAATCTGAGCCGGGTTTGTGGTAAGTTCCATTACACCTCTCGAAATACCACTTGTTCACAGGATTCGTATTGCGAGATCTCCAAATTAACTCTTCAGGATATGCCTGCAACATCAGTTTGAATATGACATCTGCCAAGCTTGGTAGGCCCTGGTTTTTTTGGGTAATGGCAAACTTATCTAGGTAAGGCACTTTATGACCATCAGATGTTTCCTCTTTCGTTATTATTGCACCACCATCATAGTTTCCAATGATGATGACGCAATCAAGACAAGTATTGAGTCTTCTCAAATAGTCCTCCCGTTCGAGCCTTCTACCAAATGAGTCGTCGATCATCAGCAATAACTTACTCTCATCGATACCGCTGTTTTTAATAAGGCTATCGAACCTTTTTTGCCCAGACTCCGTGGGGTAGAATAGTTGGACATCGAAACCACTCTTGATGATGGACGTAGTAACTTGCGGAGTTCTCAAGCGCCCTGGTGGCAAGGAGGATGAAATCAAAGGTCGATCCGTCAAAATGTTATATGCAACCGGATTTAGCATGTCCGCTTGAGGAGTAAGGTCCTCTGGCCGAAGGATGATTCCAGTTGCCTCACTCTTCAGTTCTGATTGGGTTGCGAGTAAAAGCTCTCGCATATGCGAAAGATTAGACAAATGTCGATCTCGAATCTCAGGTTCTAAGAACCCAATGTGCAATTCCGACACAATGTCCGAATATTCTTGTAAATTGTTTATGAATACGTGACTGGTACGATCACGTTCAATAGACGGAATTCCGCCAACAGTGTCCACGAAGACAACCTTCTCGATGACGACTCCTTGCGAGCGATTCAATTGTTTTACTAACGCGAGCAATGCATCCTGGGGACTAATTATGCTATTCCTGGCATTCACAACGTCGTATGCTACAGGGAGCAAAACTGGAATATTTCCTTGAATGATGGGAAGTATGATCAGCCTCTCACTCAGGATAGTTATTTTGTTCCTGTGGTCATCAAAGGGTGTGGTAATTGGTGTGAAGAAATTAAGTTCATGAGCTTCTGCACGAGACATAACACTTGCAACTTCCAATGCCCTTTCTTGAAGGAAAGATAGGGTTTTTTGAGGGTTTTCAACGTCGAATACCAAAATCGGAGATACCCCAAGTTTTACAACTGTCGTGAAGCTTCGGCACATCTCTTGTAAAGCTTGAGTCAGTAATGCAAGTGGAATTCTGAACACAGCAACTTGTTTGTAAAAAGGTGCTAGGCTCATCCTTTTATCTTTCGGTGATCCCAGCGGAGAGCATTGACGTAGCATTCCTTTGATCCGCTCACCAACCTTCGGGTCTGCGTCAAGAGTTATTGATGAACTCCCATCCGTGGAAACCGTGTTGTACCTGGTTAAATACTCTCTAGCTTCCCGTTTCGTTGTAGTTGATTTGAGAATTGACAAGATGAGATCACGTTTGTCCCTCCATTTCTCACGCCCCCCAAGAAATTGTCGACTTGATAATGCTCTCATAACAACCTAACGACTTCATGCGCAAATATCCTTGTCACTACTCATCACGTGTTTGAACATCCTCGTCATATTGGTGCGAGTCTCCCTCACCACCAGCAGCACCGTGCAACAATCGTAGCTCATTCATCACATTCAAAACAAAAGGTTTTATTTCATTTATCTCGAGAACAGAAAGTCCATTTAACTGAACATTGGACTCATTAAGCTCTTTGAGGCCCCTCTGCGCTTTCAGCTTTCTAATCTCCTTTATGTCTTGAAGTATACCGAACAAAGCTGACACAGTGTCTGACAAGTCGTCTGGTGCATGCCGGAAATAGATTTTAGCTAGCTCTTGCCAATTCCAGGGTAGTTCCGAAAATCGATTCTTGTTATGAACTTCTTCGTCGTATTTTTCCCTCAAAGTTTCAACATTCAACCATGAAGGCGGTACAAAGTTGCACTTATTCTGCTCCTTGAAAATAATTGCTACCCATAAGGGTACCTGCGTACGAGACATGACCTTAAGGGCTGGAATCGCTCTCTAAATTGTTAGCATATCTCAGAAATGAGGGTAGTTGAACATACACCTACAAGCCGCGTAGATTTCATTGAGTAGCGCGGCAATATTGTCACCAAGTCGTTTTCGCATAAATATTGTAGCTCCTTGGGGAGCAAACTCAACTGTTGGGATTGGGGTACGACCATAGAGTAGTGGTTTCCGGGTGAAACAAAAGTTTGGACTTTAAACCGCGATCTCCTGCAACCAGCGAATTGCCTCGTGTAATACAGGATCGCGTCCACTTGAGTCGTCTTTCAGAAGGCCGAAATATGCTCCCAGGTAAGAAAGTAGGATCCCAAAGCAGCTTATTAAGCGTTCATGAACCGATGAATCTCCGTTAATGTACTGAACCTCTGAATTACTGAGCTTATTAGGTGTATGCCTCTTGGGCGACGACCTTGAAGACGCGGCATAGATTGCTTTTCTCATGGCTAGTACCGGGAAGACGACAGCATCTTTATACGCTACTAATATCACACTTTCCACAACATGATTAGGTGATGTACAGCCACATAACTTTAAGAAAGCAGTGTCAATACAACTTTGTACTGGAATTAGGATTTGCATAAGAGTGAAGCGCACAAACTTGTTGAAATAAGTCCAGATTTCTGCCAAAGCTCTCCAAAGATCCACCAAACTCAACTTTGCGTCAATATCGGTACCTTTGGATAATTTTAAAGATTCAAGCCAGCTTCTCTTCAAAGAAGCTAGCCATGATTTGGTAGACTGCAAAAGTTCATGGAGCACCTCGTGCTGTCGAACCTCCTTAGCCTCGTCAATAGAATCATCAAGAACAGGGTTGAACGTGAGGTTCTCCTCGAAGGTATTTGGAGATTTTACGAGTTTTGGTTGATCAAACGTAGGCTCGACTATCCGATGATACACGACACGGGCAAGCTCCTCAACAGTATATTCCAAAGGCATTGTTGTCCGAAGTGTCTTTTCTTGAGGTTTAAATATTCTTTCCAAATGCTCCAGTAGACCCTCAAATTCATCTGATAATTTTTGATAGCTTGGGTGTTTAGAGCTCTTCACGTTCGCGTTGACTTCAAGCCCCATGCTTTTATTCCACTTTTGTAAGATAAACTGATCGGCTGACATCAGGTATTTTCTATGGAGTCCTTGTAAGGAGGAGGAGTTGGACTGAGTGCTGGATGGCGCAGCGATCACTGATGACTCGGGGTTGTTAAAGCGGAACCTCGAGGCAAGTTTCACATCCTGAATTAAAGAGTTGGAGCTTTGGGAGGAGAGGGTGACATTGGTGCGCCCTAGCTGTTTTTTGGACAGCTGCTCTTTTCTTAGCAAATCTTTGTCACCGTGACTGGCAAGAGGGCGATTGAAGAGTTGGGCAATCGATGGGGCAGAATTGAGCTTACTCGAGGGCTCGGCAGATTTCAGGAAAAACTGCTTTTGATTTTCAGTTAAAAAAGAACTTTCACTGTTGTGTTTCTCACTTCCAACTTTCCATTTAAGCTTCCTTGAAGTAAACCGACCCCTTGACGTCGCGTGCTGTTCGTTCAATAAACGATGGTCGTCTGCTTTTAACCTTTCTTTGTCGCTCCCCAAAGTCGAGCTTCTGCCTCTTGATAGAAGTCTGGCAAGAGGATTTCTTGAATGACTGCTCTCGTAACTTGGGGTCTGCGATTCATACGAGCCTTGACGACTTAGCTCTGAGATTTCCTCATTATGGCCACTCTCAACAGTGCTATAAGATCTTGCAAAATTGCTCCCGCTGTCATCTTGTAGCTGAGAAAACCCAGCCATGACTTTTGATGGCTTATGCCTTCGCCACTATCGTGCAGGTTTCCCTCTTGATGAGGAGGTTTTGTTAATAGTGTGTACCAACCTGTGCACTATTTGCAATTATACCGCGAAATCACCAACCCCCGTTTGCAACTACTGCAATTACTCCAAAAGAGAAAAGAAATTCTAGATCCACATGGAAGGATTCACGAAATATACCATCTATTTTTTTTTGGTATGAAGAAGAAAAGGATATCCTGATACTTGAATCAAATTCATTAGTCATTTAACAATTAAAGAATCATCTAGACTTCAAGACTTCATTCTGAGTATTGCAGAGATTGGTGAGCTGCCGCTTCAGAGACATCTCCCTCATAAGATGCAAGGCAAATCTATCAATACATTTGGCGTGGTTCTGAAAGCAGTACAAAATCTGCTCCCAACGAAGTGTATTTTTAATTTGCCTAAAGCGGTATTATGTCAACAATAATAGTGCTCGTGCAGTAGTTTAAAGAGGGCACAAACAGGTTACCATATGAACAAATCTCTTCATTAGTGACGACCATTTAAACTTTTCAAAATGAGAAATCCATTTGAAGAAGAGTCTACAGAAGACACAGATGAACCAGCTTACCCACACGCCGCTTTTACAAGATACCCACGCCGTGAACTATACAGAATCCCTTTGGATGAAAGCAGCGAGATTGACATCCCAAGGTCTCCCGACAGCAAGCTTGACAGGAATGGATCACCGGATATATTTGCAAGGAGTTCTTATCAAGTATCAAACGGAAAACCATCTACTCTCAAAGGAACTAGAACGCCTAACTTGGAATTGAATGAAAACAAGACAGCTAGAGCTAAATACACGTCGGACGAAAGCCCTAAAAGGCAAAGGCAAGGTGGGTTCTTCATTCCTGATGGGAAGCAAAGTGCCGTTCCAATTGATGAGATCTTTGTGTCCCACGCAAGCTCGTCAAGGAGCACGACACGAAGCGAAAGGATTCTTGAGCCCCCTCAGCCAATCTTCACACCTGAAACATTCGCCGAAGCCAATCTTCAACATCCCGACGATGAGTCTGATCAAAAGACAGTAACATCCGACCAATCACTCGATTACGGGTACCCAGATTATCAAAAAGTCTATGAAGAAGAGTCAATCTCTGACACCAACACAGCTTACAGCTCTGGGTATCACTCAATGGGAGGACAAGAGAGTGACTACTTTGGTGCCTCAATAGATCGTGACATGATGCGCAATATTCCTGACACATACGTCCCGGTGAAAGATAAAGCAACGACGAAGCGAAAAGTTCGTCTTATTGGGGGTGACTCCGGAAATTTTGTTCTCGAAAATCGTATACCAGAAGAGCTCAGGAAGGTGTTGACTAGGACTGACTCACCATTCGGCGAGTTTACCAACATGACATACACAGCTTGCACAGCCGAGCCCGATAACTTTGTGGCAGATGGCTTCACTTTAAGGCCTGTCAAGTTCGGAAGAGAAACAGAACTCGTCATATGTGTCACGATGTACAATGAAGACGAATTCGCTTTTGCCAGAACGATGCATGGCATCATGAAAAACGTGGCTCATTTATGCTCTCGAGCTAAATCGTCTACTTGGGGAAAAGATTCATGGAAAAAGGTTCAGGTTGTGATTGTTGCTGATGGCCGTAATAAGGTAAACGAAGCTGTTCTTCAGTTGTTGACGGCTACGGGCTGCTACCAGGATAATTTGGCCCGCCCATACGTCAATAACAAAAAAGTGAATGCTCACCTCTTTGAGTACACTACCCAAATCTCAATTGATGAGAACTTAAAGTTCAAGGGAGATGAAAAAAGCCTTACCCCTGTGCAAGTCCTCTTCTGTCTCAAGGAAAAGAATCAAAAGAAGATCAATTCGCACCGATGGCTCTTCAATGCATTCTGCCCTGTGCTTGACCCAAACGTGATTGTATTATTGGATGTGGGTACGAAACCTGACAATCACGCAGTTTACAATCTTTGGAAGGCATTCGACAAAGACTCGAATGTTGCAGGGGCTGCGGGTGAAATTACTGCGATGAAAGGAAAGGGATGGGTCAATTTGTTAAATCCCTTGGTTGCCTCGCAAAACTTTGAATACAAGATGTCCAACATCTTGGACAAACCTTTGGAATCTGTTCTTGGTTACATAACTGTTTTGCCGGGGGCACTCTCAGCGTATCGATATATTGCTCTTCAGAATCATTCAGACGGGTCAGGACCTTTGGCCTCATATTTCAAAGGCGAGGATTTACTAAATTCACGCCATCTCACGAACAGCAAGACCAACTTTTTTGAAGCAAACATGTATCTCGCAGAAGACAGAATTTTGTGCTGGGAACTAATTGCTAAGAAGAACGAGAATTGGGTCCTCAAGTTCGTCAAACAAGCGACTGGAGAAACCGATGTTCCGGACACCATCCCAGAATTCTTATCACAGAGAAGAAGATGGATAAACGGCGCATTTTTCGCTGCATTATATGCGTTGAGACATACCCCCAAAGTCTGGCAGACTGATCACTCAATGGGAAGAAAAATATGGCTCTGCGTCGAATTTGCTTACCAATTTGTGAGCACTGTGTTTTCCTTCTTTTCTTTGAGCAACTTCTACTTGACATTTTACTTCCTCACGGGAGCTCTCATCTCCGAGAAGAGTGTCGGCCGAGGTGGGTTTTGGGTTTTCACTATTTTCAATTATCTTTGCATTTGTACGCTAACCTCTTTATTCGTTGCGTCAATCGGGAATCGGCCACATGCTTCTAAGAATATTTTCAAGACATTGATCATACTTCTCACAGTGTGTGCATTATACGCATTGATTGTCGGCTTCTATTTTGTTGCCACTACAATACAACGGTTCGGAGTTGGAGATTCATCTACTTTTGTTTTCGTGAGCATTGTTGTTTCTTTGTTGGCAACCTATGGACTATACACTTTGATGTCCATACTCTATTTGGACCCTTGGCATATGTTGACCTGTCTGTTACAGTATTTTATGATGATTCCATCATACACATGTACTCTCCAAATTTTTGCTTTTTGTAACACACACGATGTTTCATGGGGCACCAAAGGAGACAATAATCCAAAAGACGATAAAACAAATCAATACATAATCCAGCAAAATGAGCAAGGTGAATTTGAGGTTATCGTTCAGGACTACAACATTGATGAGGTCTATCTCGAAACGCTTTACAGCATCCGTTCTCGGAGATCGAGCAAAAAGGTGAGGCCTTTCCTGGAAACGCCAAATGAATTGGATGGTGAAGATTACGCAAAGCACGTCCGAACAAAGGTTGTTCTTCTGTGGCTTTTGTTGAATCTCGTTTTCATAATGACAATGTTGCAGGTCTACGAACCAGGAGATACTGGAAGGAATTACTATCTTGTCTTTATTCTATGGATGGTGGCAGTACTTGCTCTCTTCAGAGCCTTGGGATCGACAGCTTACCTTTTACAGCACTTCGCTAGATGGCTTGTGGAATCCCATAGTAAGTGGTCTCACAAGAGGGGCGGGTATCAAAGTACCCGCGCTAATGCGCTCAACTAGTATGTTATTATATACAGGAATACTGTATGACAATCATAAAAAATCAATGAGAAGTAAAACATTACTGAATAGTAGCACCACCATTTTCCGACAACTCCTGACTAGACACGCTCAATGGTTTCTTTAAACGCAAGCCTCAAGCGTAAGCATGCGGTAGATGCTTCCAACAATGCTAAGAAAGCCAAACGCTCTACGTCCTCGAACGTTTTGAGGTCATACCAATCATTACCAGACATCAATGAAAAGCCATCGAGTAAGACGGAAGCGTTGCAGATTTTTGTTTGGGGATCAGGGTCTATGTGCGAGCTAGGCCTCGGCCCGTCAGCACTGACCAAAGAAGTTAAGCGTCCCAGATTAAACCCCTTCTTGACACAAGAGAGATTGGGTTGCGCTATAGTCGATTTTGCTGTTGGTGGAATGCACGCTTTGGCTTTAGATGCAAACAATCGAGTCTGGTCGTGGGGAAATAATGACAATAAAGTTTTAGGGCGTGACACGACGAAAGTGAAGGAAAATCTCAAATCGGTTGATGCTGCAGATTCGGACGACGAAGATGGAGACTTGAACGAAGCTGAGTCTACTCCTGCATTGGTTCAAAATTTGCCCAATCTCGATTCAAAAATTGTACAATTGGTTGCTACGGACAATCTCAGTGGTGTTCTTTATGAAAATGGAGAAGTCTACACATGGGGTACGTTTAGAGGTAACGAAGGTCTCATGGGATTTGACGAGAGCAAAGCCATACAAGATAAGCCATTACGTATGGAATCCTTGAAGAACATTGTACAACTTGCCGGTGGAAAAGATCATGTCCTAGCACTAGACTCCAAGGGAATTGTGTACGCTTGGGGAGACGGTCAACAATTTCAACTAGGACGAAGAATTTTAGAGAGGCACAAAATGGCAGCTCTCAAGCCTCACCAGTTTGGATTGTATAATATTAGGTACATCGCCTGTGGTGATTATCATTCTTTTGCGATAAACACTCACGGCGAGGTATTCGCATGGGGTCTCAACCAATATGGGCAATGTGGGGTCTCAGAGTCAGGAGAATTGGAGGATGGCTCCCTTTTGAAGCAACCCACGAAAGTGCAAACTCTTTCTGAATTGAAAATCAAGTCCCTCGTGGGTGGTGAACATCACTCAATGGCGTTGACTCATGATGGACAAGTGCTTTCATGGGGTAGACTTGATATGCAAGAGCTCGGTATTCCATCTCATAAATTACCCTCCTATACCTTCAAAGATGCGCACGGAAGGGCTCGTTCTGTGCCCCAACCTACTCAGATTTCTATTGGCCAGAAGCAACATCACAAGATCAAAACAATCGGAACTGGATCGCACCATTCATTTGCTGTAACGGATGACGGCGTAGTGTTTTCCTGGGGATTCGGCGACACGTACGCACCTGGCCTTGGTCCTCTTGACGAAGATGTTGAAGAACCTTCCAGGATCTATAACACAGCGACAAAAGCAATAGACATTCAAATGATCAGTGGTGGCGGACAGTTTTCCGTTAGCGGTGGCATACAAATTTCCGAGGAACTTGCTATCAAAAGAAACGAAAGATATGAAGCAAATGATGATTGATAAATTCTTAAATATATAAAAATAGCATTAAATATCGAAGCCTCAAATTTCACAGGTAGAACATGGTCACACGTAGCCAAGTTAGAGGAGGAGCTAACATACTCAAGGGAAAAGGTATCATCGTTTAAAGACGCTATATATTTAGACAACATGCTAGCTCTAGCTGCCATATTCGAGAATCAACGATGTCTGAATTGGTTTGTAGAAATCGTGATGGACACCTACTGAGCGAAGAAAATTTCTGAACTTCAAGACAAAACTATATAATCGCCCTCTGCACAACAATTGTATTTGCGACAAATTGAGTTACGCCGAGGAATCATTAACATGAAGCAAAATATTAACAAGATAAGTAAAACATTGATTATTCGCTACTCAAACTGAAGAAGTCAAGATAGAAATGCTTTCTGGAACTCAATAAATAACGAGAGATGATTACTTAATTTCGCTCTATAGCTTCTTAAGCTGAAAAGTACACGAGTGAGAAAACAAGCCGGCAAGACCATCACGCAATGATTACGATACGAATAGAGATCATGAATTTCTATACGAAGGTAAACACATTCTTGCTTAAAAACGCTCATTTTACATTTCGATCACGGAAATCACTACTTCAGAATGTTATTGAGTACGCAGTTGTGGTAGATTAATACGTATCGTAGAAATCAAAGTATACACAACAGCGACTAATGCCTGATAACAAGAATGATAGTCGTCCAGCTGTCTGACCACGCAAGATGGTAAAACAAACCTAATATTTCAATACTTATAATACCATCAAGTACTGCTCCTTGGATGTACTTGAGAACTGTCGCCAACCTAATTATACAAGTATACATGAATTCAAATTAAAAATGAACACGACGATAATAGTTGGGAGATAATTATGGGTTGGCCTTTGAACTATCCGAGTAAGCAAGACTTTTCAGTACATTGATACCATCTCTTGTACATATTTTTGTTTCAAAAAGAAAATTTCAGTCAAGGACTACTTGAAGACTGCTGATGACATAAGACCTGTGGCGTTCAAGCGATACTGATATGAGCCACTACTGGATTTACGATCGCAACGTAGAAGCAGGTAATACTACCGTTAGTCTCAGAAGTGAAAAAAATGGATTGTATCATTCAATGCTTAATTTCATTGATTGAATTGTTACTGCATTTTCTTCGTCCAGAATTCGTTTGAGTCGGTTGCCTTGACATCCATGCGTTATCTGTTCTAAACTTTTCTGTTGGTGCAAGAGAGGTGGAGTTATGCTTACGCTCCATATTATCTTGTAATTCAAATTCTTGGGAATTGACTCAATTACCTCCCTTTTTACCGTTTTGTTGTTTCAACCTGTTCCCCCAATTGTGGGCGCTATCGGTGCTGTTGTTGCACTCAATCTCTATCAAGACTGGATTGGATATGCTTGTGCTACTGTGTACAAATTCTTCATTGCTGCCATCACTTCAACCATTCCTCAGGCGTTGGTTGTAAATTGTCCTATTCTGTAAGGGCGGGTTTTCACTTGTTCGAATTTTAACACTGGTGTGTTGTACTTCCTTATTCAATGACGTATGTAACATCACGTAGAAGGCTATAAAAACTATAGGTGTTCTAGTCGATTATCAGAGCCTAGAGCCTATTATATACAGCTGATAGGTTGGAATTGGTTTTCTTGGGGACATAATTAGATCCTCACTTAATGAAAGATCCAAACTGATAGAATTGTATATTACTTTTAGGAACCTTCTAGCATCTTGTTGTTGAAACCCTGTAATTGTTGTTTAGAGTATGCATATCAATCGAGTTTTGATTATCAGCTTAAGTTTTACCTCACGCCTGATCATGTCGTCTCGAAATGGCAGAAAGATGGTAGGATAGAAATATGAATTGATTGTTTTACGAATGTCTTCATCAAGATATGATGAGTTGTCGACGATGTTGCTCGAAGCAGAGATGATGTGATGGTACATTCCCATTCGCGATGGATTGCTTATTAAAATTGAGGTTTAGCAAGGAAATTTTTTTTGCATTGCCTTGCATTAAGTTTGGATCGGAAGGTAATCTTAATGTTGTACTTGACATTGTTTGTGGGGCTGGCATCAATTTGTGGACTGACACGTTTTGTGAGTAGTACACGTTTGCGAGGTGTACTCAAAAGGTGATAATCCTGTATGGAGAGCCTTACGCGAGCGCCCTTGAGTTGTTCTAGTGCGAACATACTCAAATTATGCTGATCGTTTGATGAGGATATTGAGTAAACTGAATGGCACAATAATTGCAGCATTGAGTTTGGTGGGCTTCCTCATCTTCTCGAAAGGCTTCTTTCCGACAAAAAGTGTTTTGGGCGGCCAAGCTGGGTTAATAAACCCAGATGCCTTCGCTGGTGAACGCGGTGCTCAGTTTGACAAGCTTATACTCATGGTGGTTGACGCGATGAGATCAGATTTTATGTTCTCCCAAGAGTCTCAAATGACCTTCCTACATGATTTCATTGAAAACGGCAATGCTGTTCCTTTCACGGCGTATTCTCACCCACCTACTGTCACATTGCCACGTCTAAAGGGCATAACAACAGGGCAAATTCCTAGCTTTGTTGACGCGATCCTTAATATAGCTGATGGAAGCGACGGATCGCAAGCTCTTACCCAAACAGACTCGTGGATTAGCCAGCTTCGCAGAAAATCGAAGAACAAGATAATCAACTTCTTTGGGGACGATACATGGTTAAGATTGTTCCCTGCTGAGCAGTATTTTAACCAAAGTGAAGGAACGAGCCTGTTTTTTGTTAATGACTTTACAGAAGTGGATAGAAATGTTACAAGACATCTCGATGCCCAATTGAAACAGCCTTTTGACGCTCTCATCTTGCATTACTTAGGTCTCGATCATATCGGGCACACTGGGGGGCCAATGTCTGTGCATATGAAACCAAAGCAGCAAGAAATGGATGGGATTTTGAAGAAGTTATACGATTCAATCGATGATGAGCAAACCCTTATTGTCCTTATGGGCGACCATGGAATGAATGAAGTTGGAAACCATGGTGGCTCTTCAGAAGGAGAGACAAGTCCCGGTCTTGTCCTCGTATCCCCAAAGTTCAAAAAATTGCAAGTAAATCCGGTAGGGTATCGAGCTTCGCACAAACCTGATGATTTCACCTTTTATTCTAGAATTGATCAGATTGACATCGTGCCTACTCTTTCGGCGCTTTTGAATATCCCAATTCCTAAAAATAGCGTTGGAGTCATGGTCCCTCAGGTTCTCCAATGTTGGTCTGATGAACAACAAAGGAAGAAAGTGCTCTTGGAGAACTGCGAGCAAATGTTCCATCTTTTTCAGGCCCTGCATCCCTCCAAAGCTACAAAATTTGTCGATCAAATCATTCAACTTAGAAAGTTGGAGGGTATCCAAATTAGTGATTATTGGGATTTCCTCAAATCACTCAAAGATATTATGGTTCAAAATTCAACAAACTATTCCCTTGAGTTGATGTACTCTGGCTTTGGGATCACACTCCTTTCGGGACTTGTTCTATGCAATTTACTTCTTAGAAGAGCAACGCATGAAAGGGGCAGTTTGATCCATTGCTGCTTCTACGTCGGCTTAATAGTTTCGTACTGCGCCCTTTTGCATGCCTCTTCTCTTATTGAGGAGGAGCATCAATTTTGGTGGTTCACGACTGTATTGGCGGTTTTCTTGATGGGATTAGATAGTCATTCATCCTGGAGAGTGGCGTTGGGCTGTCTCTTTTTACTAAGAGTCATAAGGTCTTGGAGCACGATGGGTCAAAAATTTAGGCTGGCAAAGACCTTGTCTGATGTATTGACAGAGACCCCTTTGGTACTTTGGATATTCGTGTTCGTTACTGTGTACGGTATTGCCATTATCAACGGACGAAAAGAAGCGCACAAGCGCTTTCACTTCATCATCGGATTTTTGTTGGAAATGGTGATGAGCTCACTTACCATTTTTCTCAAGGTATTGCAGACGAAAATTGACGGTAAGTCCCTCCCTTCAATCTGTAATTGGATGGTCATTTCCTATGAAGACACAATGGACCCTTTATTGGAGATGCGTGCAGCAGCGACCTTGGTGTCACAACTATTTTACTTGGCATTCGTGACTTCTTGCCTTTGGCGGGTGAGCGAGAGAAGCTCGTTGAAGTCCACGAGGGTTAGCCTTCTCCTAGTGCATGTCTTCTTGCATCAGTCTAGGCTTGAAAATATTCCTTTATTTTTGGTTTTCGGAGCTTTGGAGTCTTTGCTATCGAGATCATCCGCGCTCAAGAGCTCAGAGTTTTTACTTACAGCCATCATGCTTTGCATCCAAAACCTCTCGTTTTTCGGCATTGGGAACACTAATCTGATAGCGACAGTAGACCTTTCAAATGCCTACAACGGTCTCAGCTCATACAAGATCTCCCTCGTTGGCATTCTTACTTTTATTTCAAATTTTGCTCCTTCATTGCATTGGTACCTAGCGTGGTTTCGGTTGGCAGAAAGCAGCGGAACAGACATTCGCCGCAACATTTGGGCCAGAAATTTACTCGTCTTTACCTTCTATGTTACATCTCAAGCAAGCTTGTTGGCCTCATGCATCAATTTAAGATACCATCTATTTATTTGGTCAGTATTCTGCCCGAAAGTGCTTTATTTTGCAGCCTGGTTTGTACTAGTTGAATTAGGATTCAATGTTGCGATATGGCAGAATCTTGTTTTGTTCAACACGCCAAAGCAGCAGATGAAGCCATAGGCTTATAAAAAAAATGCATGCTCATCTCACTGAAGTAACTGGTCCCGGAAATGGGGCTGATTGTTGACGTATTTTGACAGCCGCCTATCCTTGAGGTCGTACATTTTTTTCTCTGACTTCCAGACCTGTTGCTGTTCCTTTGTGACTTGCAGATTTTGGAAGTTCAACTGCCTACACTCAGCTGCCACAACAGTTCCTTGACCTTCCGAGAGAATGAGTTCCTGCTTGTGTTTGCGAAGTTTTCGGAGACGTCTATGACCTAGCGATAAACCATTTGGAAGAATTAACTCGTCGCCAAGATTTATGATATAGTCTTCCCCAGCAGCTGTGAGATCATTTTCACTATCCTCATCATCGGACCCCTTGTCATCCAACTCTGTTTCAGAAACATCTTCCCAATCCTCTTCGTCGTTTTCGGTCTGAAATTCACTTGCGTCATTCTTATAAGACGATGTAAAGTCGTAAAAGTCGGATATTTCTAACTTCTCTTCATCAGTTTCATATGGAATACGGATGTGGCGCTTACCGTGCATGTGCTCCCTCACGGCCGCTAAGCTTTTGCCCTGGTACGAACATGACAAGCAAACATTTCCCAAACCAAGCTTCTCCCCTAGATATACTATCAATCCTTCAACATCAACGAGGTACTTCTTTTCAGGCAAAAAGAGCCCGTGAACCTTAGTCATATGAGAGATATTTTCTTCAACACTGTCGAAGTGAGCCTGTTTCTTATCTGAGCAGAATAAACATGTAGTGGGTTTAATCTCCACGCGTTGGTTTATCTTTGCCTCCATGATATCATTGAGCTCAGCGTCCTCACATGAAGACTCTATGCTTTTGTTCTTTTCGGTTTCAATTTCCCCTGGGATGCCTCTCAAAAGCGCTTCACGTTGTTGCCTCAACAACTCTTTCTTTGCAGCTCTTTCATGCTTTCTTCTAGATTTGTCTTCATTCTTATTGTCTTGAGTCGATGATGCATCCCTGGCTTCAGTCGCAACCACCTTCCCTTTAAACGTGTCTTCGTCAACTGGTGGAAGCTGAGTTACTCTCCTCTTGAGATTATACCTGTGCCAATCCGTTTTCATATGAGTCCTCTGTGAGGCTGCTTCCTCGAAACTAAGACCGCAACTAAGACATGTGAACAGCATAATAAAGTAGTGATGCTTGATGCGATGAGCATCTGCGAATATTGAATTTTTCTGGTATTGATGCAGTTGTGCGAACATTTTCTGAACTGACGCGCAAAAACCCCATCTCAAGATATAATCTTTGTCATGACCAAGAAACCTATGGAATTTGCCTCTGTAATTCCAGCTATAATTGACTCTGTACGCTATGCATCTGCTATGGCAGCACATGACATTTCCTTCTACCGTACCATGGATAAAGAGATCGATACAATTGCCGCAGAGTCCTCTGAGATGCTACTTGAAATGCTACGAAATTTGACTACCTCGAAAGATTTATCAGATACTTCAAACTTAATGATCAACTCGCAGGCTTTCTGGGATAATTTTGAATCAAAACTTGATACAATCTATGAAAAAGTGGACGTCGCCATGGAAAAGTACGATATAACGCATAAGAAAAATACCAAGATTGCTGCTATATCCATGGGGCCTCTCGAAAAACCTCAAGTACATTTCGCTGAAGATATAGATAACTCAGACACCAAGCCTTTCAAACCGAAGTTGAGGTCGAAGCCTTTTTGCCTTCGACTGTTAGAGGATCTGTTGGTGACAGATACTGAGGGCCGTTATGAACATCCATATCAACATGAAATCATGACACAACCATACCCAGATTGGATACTTGACAAATGTTTGCCTGAAGAGCCTCAAGATTGGGATAGCCAGCCAGCAACTTTTGTTTCAACAGTTACGCAATTGAACGATATGGTCAAGAAATTGAAGTCCTCAAAGTCTATTGCAGTTGATTTAGAACACCACGACCTAAGAACCTATTATGGGCTTACTTGTCTCATGCAAATCTCTGATCGTGATCAAGATTGGTTGATTGATGTTTTGGCCCTTAGATCAGACATGGTTATCTTGAATGAGATCTTCGCTAATCCTAATATTGTGAAAGTATTTCATGGCGCATTCATGGATATCATTTGGCTTCAGAGAGATCTTGGTCTTTACGTTGTATCGCTATTTGATACATATCATGCCGCGAAGTTGTTAGGTTATCCTAAACGTTCTTTGGCATATTTATTAGAAAAATTCGCTGGTTTCAAAGCATCAAAGAAATACCAATTAGCAGATTGGAGATTACGGCCACTCCCTGATGCAATGTCTCATTATGCTCGAGCTGATACTCACTTTCTTCTCAATATCTTTGATCATCTTCGAAATTCATTGGTAGATGAGAAGGAGGAGAAACTTCAGCAAGTTTTGTTTGCATCAAGAAAAGTGGCGTTACGCAAATTTGAGTTTATTAAATTCAGCGAAGAGCTGGGTAAGGTTGACGAAAGTAGCACCATCATGACTAATTATAATGTCCCAATCCATCTCGAAAACCGTTTGCGCCTTCTCGTCGGCTGGCGGGATAAGACCGCTAGATCAATGGACGAATCCACAAGGTACATAATGCCAAATAGCACTTTGGTGCAGCTTGCTGCAAGCGATGTTCCAACCGACAATTCATCAATAGCTGCGATCCGTTCAGTCAACGTGACAGGCTTTCAATTGGAATCTTTGGTGAACTTCATGAATGAAAATTTTGAAAACAGTTCCACCGAATCCACGAACAATAACTTCAAGATTTCACAGCAGACAGAAGATACGAGCGCAGACTCTCTTCATATCGTATTGCAAAACCAGAGACAGCTTTTGCCTCAAGTTGCAAGCGGAGTGTGTGGAACCTCGTCTCTTTTCACGGAGAGCCTTCTTGGCTCCGAGATTTTACATCCACGATTGAACAAGAAGGACACCAAGTTGCTTCAACTGCTACCACTCCTTTGGTCTTCATTTACCTCCGCAGCCAATAATCCACCTGCGATGTCTGACAGGGAGCAACAGGGAGACAGAGAGCTTTCACCTGAGAGAGAAGCACTTCAAAGTGAGGAAACTGTTTTGGATGCTCAAAACATACGAGGCTTTAAAGTGGGCAAGCAAGAATATTCAACCACGAAGCGAGAAGGAGCCAGCTCAACCAACATCGTGAACTACGAGGAAGCGTTACAAGCACAAAACACAGAAGAAACCAAGAAAAGAAAAAGAAGTGTTCAGCAATTTGACCCCCATTCTCACAATGGTAAAAAGGCGCAATATGGTGCCCCAAGGAAGAGACGTCAGTTCCAGGGAAAATCTGCTGCTTTCACCAAATGAGAATATTGCGTGCTGCAGAATGCGAAGTAGACATATCTCCACCTCTCGAAGTATTCTAGACTGCATAAGAACAAGGACCCCGTTTATTCACTCCACAAATCTGTAAAGCCCGCTCAGTTGCAAAGCAATGAACTTCTACATTGTACCTTCTGGGCTGTATCAAACTCAGCAGAAGATGAAAGGTTCCACGAAGTCTCGTAATCGGCGAAGATCACATAATAGCAGAAAATCTTCCGATGCTAAATCCTCCTTGTCTGAATCTGTGGAACTGCGGCATCTGCTGGAACTGTCGAAACATTTGCCATTGATGGCAGCGCACGAGAATCATGTTAATGGTCCAGATGAGAGTACTACGGACGAGACAATTCCCATGCCACAAGGTGTTAGTGAGAACGATCGAGATTGTTGTCATGTTGGAACTGTTGACACTCAAAAGATGATGAGATCTCCCACTAGGGACAGCCACAAGACAGGTGATGATTTGAGTTCACTCCTGAAGCAGAAGTATCTGCAAGTACCAAGCGCATCTCTGATATTGTCACCAACGTGTGGTGGTATCGAAATCAAGCCGTCAAATCATGAAATCATTGAACGCAGCCACTCTATCGACGGTCATGACACCAACGATGACCATATCATACCTGATTTTAAACTCTTTTCTTCATTATCTGGACTTAATTCTGAGACCTACGTCAGGAGAAATTTTTTGACACCGATGTTTCAAATTTTAAAGTATAAGAATTATTTGGAGTTGATTGAAAGTCAGCATGAGGCGGACGCTGTCACTTACGCAGAGGTTAGAAATCAATCGTTTGGAAAATTCGTTAACAAGATCTCAACAGATCAAGGCGATGTACATGGCCGGGAGAACGATGCCGATCTATATCGTCATGAAGGAATTTTGGCCTGTGAACTTTTCAGATGCAGACAGTTCTTAAGAAGGCTTCTTTCACTTGAATATTCGTCGAGCGGGAATGCTGCACAATATCTACCCGAGGAGCTTATACAAGCGAACTTTACTAATTATGTAAGGTACCTATTACAGCTTCCGCTCACGCTTCCTGACTTCTGCGAGAAGCTTGATCCCATCACTGCTTCACATTACAGATTCAAGTCATCTTTGCAGGAATTAAAGGATAGACTCAACACGATAGCACAAGACGGATTTGGAAACGAAGCGTTGGTACTTCCTGGAGCTGATGTCATAGTGCAGGCGATCACTAAAGTTCTGTACGAGTATATGCTTTTAGAGCAGTATCACATTGACGTGTTAGCAAAATTAGGGAAAAATGCACTTGTGGATCGCCGTATCATCAAGCTACTTTTCAATCTTTTCAGCTTGAATATGAAGCTCGACAATCCCGAGGCGATGAAAATCTTGAACTTTAATGTTTTCTTCAGCGCTCAATACTCATGGTACCTCGCACTCACTGTTCCATTCGTGCGAGTGTTTGAATCTAACGTGTTTGCTAACGAGACCAAGGATTCCATGGAACATGAGGACGCACTACGAAGACTGGACTTAGAGCTTCACAAAAATTTCTTCAAAAAGCTTGAATTTGAGTCCTTCGAGGAATTTGACAGCATGACGAAAGGTGATCTCATGAAACTCAGGAGATCTCTTGAAGGAGATCGTACCACAGAAGCTGCTTCACAAACTACCGAACCTTCAAACCCTCGGCACAAACCAGATAACTTTGAATATCTACAGCAAAGCATTTTCAGAATAAAGACGGAAACGTTTCATGTTATACAATCGCGAGACCTTTTTTTGCAATTGAATATTTCTAACTACAAGGAAATTATTCGTGAATTTCACCGCATTTTAAAGAAAGGTGGAATACTTGAATTACCGCTACACATACCGAGGTATACGCCTACGTGTGACACATTAACTGAGCGATACCCTGAAAGCCCTTTTGGGACAACATACAAAAGGGATGATCACCTTATTGATGACTTTTTGAATGTACTCATTCAGGAGTTGAGCCTAGTTTTTGGTTCGAAAAATGTGATGATTGGTGCCTCCTTGATTTCCAGTGACAGTAAGATGAATGCTTTTGTTTCGAATCATATCCTCCTTCGACTTCACGACATTTACGGTGATCTCAATTCATTTGTTGTCCGCTATAGAGAGCAGGAATCAAATCATGCCAAGAACGGGACGTATTTTTTTTATCTTCGCTCCGAGAAGATATAAGCTGGTAGGATCCATACACCACTGACTCATCGGGCGCGTTTGTAAAGTTCATACATTTCACTAAATAGAAGACAGAGGACAAATGACTAAGGTTCACATCATTGATGTTGAGAGTGGAAACTTAAGAAGCTTGAATAATTCCATTGAGTACATTGGTGACTATGAAGTGGTATATATTTGTAATCGCGATGATTTCAGCACATTGGACGAAGAGATCACTCATTTGATTTTTCCCGGAGTTGGAAACTTCGGTCATTTCGTGAGAGAGCTTATTAAACGAGATCTTATGGAGCCAGTTAAAAGATATGTCAACGAAGGTCGGAAGCTTATGGGAATATGCGTTGGCTTGCAATCACTATTCTCTGAATCAGAAGAAAGTGAGGATATTTGTGGAATGAGCCTCTTGGACTTGGAGTTAACGAAGTTTGATAACAGTGATCCTACCTTCAAAACCAGAGGTTTAGTCAAATCAGTTCCACACATAGGATGGAACACTGTCCACAGTTTGACACCTTCAAAATCCGATAGATGCCTTTATGGAATGAATACGCAGGACAAATACTACTTTGTCCATTCTTACGCTGCTAAAGTTGATACGCCGAGAATACAGAATTTGATTTCTAAAGCGGAAGAGAGTGGGTGGAGATTTGGACTTTCAAAATATGGGTCCGAAACGTTCATTGCAGCTATTTCAAAAGGTAGCTTTTTTGCTACACAATTCCACCCCGAAAAGTCTGGCGTTGCGGGCCTTAGAGTTATAAAAGCTTTTTTGGAGGATAGTGCTGATGAAACAATGGACTCTACCTCAAGCACTCCGTCTGGGCTCCCATCTCGGAGGATTATTGCATGCCTTGATGTCAGAACAAACGATCAGGGCGACCTTGTGGTTACGAAAGGTGACCAGTACGATGTACGCGAAAAGAGTGGTTCTTCGGATGGGTCCGTGAGAAATCTCGGTAAGCCAGTGGAACTTGCCCTCAAGTACTATGAACAGGGGGCTGATGAGATCACATTTTTAAACATTACCTCCTTCAGAGATTCCCCCATAACCGATCTCCCGATGTTGGAAGTTCTCAGACAAGCAGCAAAGAACATATTTGTTCCATTAACTGTGGGTGGCGGCATCAAAGATATGAGAGACCCCGTGAGTCAAGAAATGGTGCCCGCATTAAAAGTCGCAGAATTATATTTCGCTTCAGGAGCTGACAAAGTAAGCCTTGGATCCGAAGCAGTGACAATTGCTGAACAATACTATCAGGCGGATAAAATTAAATCCGGGTCAACTGCTATTGAGCAAATCTCACACTGCTTCGGAAACCAAGCTGTTGTCATATCGATTGATCCGAAACGAAAGTATGTCGGCTCTCCATCGGAAACTTCCATGCAATGTATTGAGATAGGTGATCCAAGCAAATTTGGCCCCAACGGGGAAAAGTATTGCTACTATCAAGTAACTTCTCAAGGTGGTCGGAAGCTTCATGAAATTGGAGCTCTTGAGGTCTGCTTAGCATGCGAGGATCTTGGTGCTGGTGAAATTTTGTTGAACTCGATAGATCATGACGGATCTAACAAAGGATTTAACTTAGAGCTTTTGAGACAGGTGAAGGAGAATGTGTCAATTCCAGTAATTGCCAGTTCGGGTGCAGGTTGTCCAAGCCATTTTGCGGAGGTATTCGAGATGGACTGTGGAATAGACGCTGCCTTAGGTGCTGGAATGTTTCATCGTGGTGATTACAAGGTTGCAGATGTAAAACAGCACCTACTCAGTCAGGGAATGGACGTAAGGTCAGAAATGGATATGTCAATATAATGATGGATATGTCAGGTTGATTTTCGCAGATAATTCTATACCGGAAATACATACTTTTTTCTCTTACTTTCAGCCTATAGCGTCTACTACTTCGGATGCAGCGAATCTAAGGTGACCCCAATACTGCTCCAGAAGTGGTTTGAAAGAAATTTCTCGCACCCCGTTACCTGTTCAGTGTGAGCTACTTGAGCTTCTTTTCGATGGCTGAGGATGAGAATCGTGACCACACTCTCCCCTATCCTTTGGGCTATGAAGAGAAAAGTTTAATCGAATCTATTGATGATATCAACTCCTTCAAGATTCCCTCTATATTTATACAGAGCGGGCTTCTGTTATTGAAGATATCTCACAAGTCTCGCAAACGTGTCAAGCTCAAAGTTGAACCTTCAAATTTCAAGTTCGTTTATGAGTTGCCCAAAGGTAAGTCGTATGAGTTCTTGGTTGATGATATAAAAGGCCTTTTTTTTGGAAATTTGGCACTGAATTTCAGAGAAGAATTCGGCATCTCTAAGGAGTTCGAGAAGCAGTGGCTTTCAGTCACCTTCTTCAATCAATCCAAAAAGAAGCTTAAAACGTTACATTTAATCGCAGATACCATCTATGATTTCCGCAGAGTCAAGGCCATTTTTGTTGGCTTCAAGACTTTGAAAGATGACATAGCTCAGAATTTTCTAGTAAATTTGAATGAGCTTAATGATTCAACGAAGACAATGGTGATTGAGAAAGCTGATTGCACTGAAAACATTAAACGCAGCAGTCTTTCATTACATGATGTCGTCAAGTTCACACGAAGAATGAATATCAATTTAAGCGAGAGCATAATTAGTCGAATTTTTCAGGAATCGAAGAAAGTCGCTACTGACACAAGGGAAATCTTGACTTTTGATGAATTCAAAAATTTTGTCTCTAAGCTTAATGACAGACCCGACGTCACAGAGATTTGGCAAGATGCTAACGCGAATCGATCTACAATGAGTTTCGAAAGCTTCAAATCCTTCATGGTGCAATTTCAACAAGAATCTCACAGTGAAGCCTCACTTCGAAAGCATTTTAGTAAGTTTGATAATAACTCTAAAGGATTTTGGTCTGAGCAAGATCTCAATTCTTTTTTGCTTTCAAAGTTCTCTTTTCCCATTCGCGAGATAAAGGAGGAGGAGGGGCCTCTTTGCAGGCCCTTGAACGAGTACTTTATACTCTCTTCCCACAATACTTATCTACTAGGTCGTCAAATTATTGGGGAGTCATCAATTGAAGGCTACATTAAAGCCTTACAAAGGGGTTGTCGCTGTCTAGAGATCGACATTTGGAATAGCGGTATCGATGATGACGAGCCAATTGTCAACCATGGCAGAACGTTCACGCAAGGGATTTTGTTGAAAAATGTCGCCAAGACTATCAAGGATTATGCCTTTCAAGCTACCCCCTACCCACTTATACTTAGCATCGAGAATCACTGCACGCCTGACTTTCAAAGGAAAGCAATCACGATTTTTAAAGAGACCTTTGGAAAAACCTTGCTTAGTGAGCCGTTAAATGAACTGAAGACTCTTCCTAGCCCAGAGGATTTGAAAAATAGAATCCTTTTGAAAGTCAAAAAAACCGTTGCTAGCAGTGAGCGAGGTTGTGATTCTTCTATTAGTACTGGCACGTCAACCACAACGACAACCACACTGTTCAGTGACGGAAATGATACTGCCAATGCAAACTCGAAGCTAAAACTTCGAAAGAAGAGTTCGACGAGATCAGTTATAAGGACTCTAAGTGATATGGCACTCTACGTCCAAGGGGTAAAATTTAGAAATTTTTCCCTCCCCGAGTCAAAAACTTTCAACCACTGTTTTTCATTGAGCGAAAAATCCATTGATAGAATGATAAAGGACGACAACAAAAAAATTGCCGTTCTTAAACACAATCGAGGATACCTTATGCGCATTTATCCTTCCAAGTTTCGGCTCAAATCCACGAATTTTAATCCAATTATGTACTGGAGTCATGGAGTTCAAATGGTGGCAACAAATTGGCAGACTCATGACTTGGGCCAGCAACTAAACGAAGCTATGTTCAACACTCCGTTTGGCGACGGGTACGTGTTGAAACCTTTTTCGTTGAGAGTTGCGCCTCTCAAGGGTAAAAAATGGCATACACAAGTGGTGAAGTCTATGCGGCGAAAAGTTTCCATCAAAATCATTAGTGCACATCAGTTACCCAAGCCGATTGACTGGCTCGGTGACATACAACCTTTTCTCAGTTTGGACATTATTGGAGCAAGATCTGTCAATTGGTTCCCGTCCAAACCCGTGACTAAAATCGTGCCAGGTAATGGATTCAATCCTATTTGGAATGAAACTTTTATGGGAGAATTTGAATTTGACGATGTTGAACTCGTGTTTCTTAAGTTGAGTGTCGCATCATCATCCGCGCCAAATCATTACGCCGATTGTAAGGAAGTTGGTTTCATCATGCATAAAATCTCTGATCTCAAATGTGGTTATCGCTATTTAATGCTTAAGGATCTTAGTGGAGAACAATTACTTTACTCATCTGTTCTTGTGAAGATCGATCATGATTGACCCCATAGAATTGATAGTGTGTGCAACCGATATGCAGTATTCATTAGCGCGAAGTTAAAAAAAAAAAAAAAAAAAAAAATATGTAGTGAAAATGATCTACATAGTGAGGAATGCGATGAGGTTGACTGCGAACCTCACTTACTCTCTCCAATATGGGCAAAATCGATACGTCGCTCAACACAAGACAACGTCATAATCCACTACACAGAGATATCGCTTCTGTGAATGGTAACCTTAAATCTAGCGGTCATGAGCAGCTGAAGGATAATCAACACCACGCCGATGGCTATCACGACGCCTCGATATCTAGAAAGATTTTATCTTTGGCGAAAAGCCAACAAGAGGAGTTAGATGCTGAGGAGAATGATGATGTGTCGAGTGAAGAAGAAAGCGTTGGTGCATCTTCAGAGAGAGATCAGTATGAAGCTTTTTTGGACGATGTGGAAGATCAAGATCTCGAGCATGACCTGGAAGTGAGTGATATCGAGTTCTCAAATGAGACAGATAAGGGCTTAATTGATGCTTACTTTGCCCAGACCGAGACCATCACTTTGGCAGATAAGATTATGGCAAAAATCCACGAAAGAGAATTGAAGAAAGAGGCACTCGAAAGCGAAGTACCAGAGAGCCTGGGAGTTCTTCTTCCCCCAAAAGTCATAGCTGCCTACGAGAAAATTGGACGCATTCTCTCGACTTACAAGCATGGAAAACTCCCGAAACTTTTCAAAGTCTTACCAACCCTAAAGAATTGGGAAGACGTACTTTTTGTGACAAACCCAACTTCTTGGACCCCACACGCTGTTTGTGAAGCTACCAAACTTTTTGTCTCCAATCTTCCATCTAATCAGGCGCAGATTTTTGTGGAAACTGTTTTGCTTCCAAAATTCAGACATTCAATTGAAGACAGCGAGACACACACTCTTGATTATCATCTATATCGAGCATTGAAGAAATCTCTTTACAAACCAGCAGCTTTCTTCAAAGGCTTCCTTTTGCCGCTAGTTGATGACCAATGCACACTCCGCGAGGCTATGATCGTCGCGTCTGTTTTATCCAAAGTCTCGATTCCCGCCTTACATTCCTCAGTTGCACTCACGCAGTTGACTCAAAGAAATTACACTCCTGCAAGAACTGTATTTATAAGGGTTTTGATCGAAAAGCGCTATGCGCTACCATATCAAACACTAGACGATCTTGTGTTTTTCTTCATGAAATTTAGAGTTAGTTCTCAAGAGGAGTCTTCTCATGAAACAAACTTACCCGTTGTCTGGCACAAGGCATTCTTGGCCTTTGCTCAGAGATACAAAAATGATATCACGGAAGATCAGAAAGATTTTTTACTTGAGACATTAAGACAAAGATTTCATCATGCAATTGGTCCCGAAATTAGGCGGGAGTTGCTTTCCGGCTCTGGACGAGACGACAGTAGCGTTAAGCAGGCCGGTGCAATGGAAGACGCATTCTAAATCACTAATTAATCTAATGGGACGGCTCAGATGTTCGAGCCTTTGCGTCATCGCAAAGTTTATCATAGTCAGCGCTCAACACCACATACGTTTGAATACCTCCAATAAGAGTTAATGCGACCGTAGTTCCAATCCAGAGTCCATGCAAGGATCCTTTCCAAGGGGAAAAGAAGGATAAGTAGATTGACATTGGAATTCCCACAAGATAGTATGAAATTAAATTAACTATTCCACCAATCTTAGTCAATCCTTGCCCTCTTAAACATCCAGCAGAATTAGCGTTCATCGCATCAGAAACTTGCATCAAAGCCACAAGCCACATGATGTCATGTAACAAGGATATCACACTTTCATCGTTTGTGAAAAGGATGGCGATCGGCCTTTGTAAGGTATACAACGCTAAGAAATTAATGAGCGAAACTGCAAACCCGAAGAGCAATGCAACTTCGCCTGTTACTTGAGCACAATTAGCGAGGCCAGCACCAAGGTAATTCGCAATCCTCGTTGATGCCGCTATACCCATTGCGAAGGGAACCTGGTAAGTGAGAGAAGCCATTGTAGAGCCAATCGATTGCGCAGCTAATTCGTAGGTGCCGAGGTAGGACGCCATAAGTGTCAAAATCTCGAAGGCAAGGAACTCGGCCTCCAACATCACCCATCCGGGAACAGCAAGACTCACCAACTTGCGCCAACCTTGAAAAGATTTACGGAACTGAAAGCCATTCCAGCACTTCGATGGATGAATACCTGTGTTGGTGGATCTTTCATCTAGAAGCATTGTTCCAATAAGTAGTCCAATGGCCATCAACCAGTAATTGATTGCTACAGCTACCGGAGCCCCCAAGTAGCCGTAAAGCCGCACGAATACGATGTTCATCGCAAGATTTAAGGGTGCCGCGAAAAGCAAGACATAAGTGGCAACATGATAAATTCCCTGAGCTTGTAGGAAGCGCTTGCCACATTCGAAAAGAACGTAAGCAGGTATACCAAAACTGATATACTTGAGATACATAGCTGCGAGGTACGCTGTTGATCTATCTGGGAGGAGTAGGGTGATCAATTGGTAACCAAAGAAAATCCAAACAATGAGAAGTGGAATAATCAAGGTGAATATCAAAGCAATGCATTTCTGCATGTAATCGCCAACTAGTTGATACCTTCCAGCACCAAAGGCTTGCGGGCATAGCGTATCTAAAGCAGTTGCTATACCCTGGATGGTTGCATAACCGGTTATATTGGCTGTCATTGAGCCCATGGAGACAGCTGCCAACTCAACCGCGCCTAGGTGGCCAACACTGAAAACTGAGACAGTAGATAGGGAGTTCTGCAAAAGAAAGGTACACACAAGCGGGATGGAAGATCTTATCAATGAAGCCAATTCAAGTGATCTGCTTGTCGTCTTTAGTTTACCATTCTGCACGGCGTCCTCGAATGTCGACGCTATGTACTCATCATTGCGATTATCCACTTTGATATGATGCGATCTCAAAATCTCTCTTTCTTCGTCTATGGCTATCGCGGAGTAGCTAGATCTTCTACGATCTGATTCACGAGGAAATGGTGGCAAAAGAGGTTGAGTTATCTCCTCGTCGTCGATTGCCAGCGATTTGTCTTCAGATTGGTGCAAAAAGTCAGAAGGAACAAAAAGACCCTGTTTTCCAACAGAGCCAAACACCGTGGAGGCACGCCGCTTAGTATTGGAATGGGTCAACTGATGTGTCCATTCTGGTGACGACATGGGGTTGGGAGTTTTGAGCGACAGAAGTTGTTGCAAGAAGCCTTCACACCATATGCAGTACAAGCAAAAATTCCGTGTAATCATTGCTGATCGTTAATATTCAAAAGAAGTTGGCCAAGACATCTCTTGGTGGCAACATCATCCTGTAATATTGTGGAAAAGGTGCCATCTCTTAAAGGTTCTGGTAAAATTGACGATAACGCTTTCCGTGCTTCAAGGTTGTCTGAAAGTCGCATGTAACAACGGACGACATGCTTTAGCAAGCGGCCGGAGCTTCCTGAGGGTGCCTGATTAGATCCTAAACTGCTCACAGTATTCAGATGCTGTTCTGGCTGTCCAATGTGAGTGGAGTTCCCCGCTGACACGCTTAATTGGTCTATCATCTTGGACAAGACCGATGCAACAGTATGGAATCTTTCATACGTCGTGCAAATATAAGAAAGCCCTTGATCGTCAAGAAGGATCTTTTGTAGTATGAAAATGGCCACCGTTTTGGAGAGCTCGGAAGAAATTTCCATAATATTCAAGCAGAGAGGGACAATTTCAGTTGTCAATAAAAAGTTGATTACCTCAGGTGTGTCATTTTTCACTAATGCCCCTATCACACCTAAACTTGTGAGTCTTAAATATTCAAACGATCTTTGGCGAGCGTTGGTCGAAAGAAATGGGTATAGATAAAGCGGCATGTTAGCATTAAGAAATGCACCTCTTGTCTGAGCATTTGATGCAACACATTGCAACAATGCAAGAGCGTTGCAAACTCTATTAGACACTGAGGCTGTTAATACTGGAGGATTGAGAAACGGGTAGACCGATATAATCTCCTCCAACAACGCCGTCATAACACCGAAGGAGTTCCATAACACCAACGCTAGATCATCGTACTGCTCTCTCTTCTTCCCCAACTCCAATAAAGCCCTCTCACGATTCGTACCAGTCACAAGCTCGGTGATCCATTGATAAATGTGTTTGTCATTAAGTGCCTTGGATTTTGAGCCGTCACTGGGTGGCAGAGATGAGTGAACTTGAACCTTCGACATGTTGAAGTGTCTTCAGTGCGCGTCGGTGAGGTTGCGTGAAGAAGTTGGAGTGAGGAACGATGCAGTAGGTAGTGCAAGCGCCAATTAAGACCCCCGCCGTAGCTATAACGGAGTTGAGCTCGTTGAAAACGCTGCCTTGCATTAAGCACCTTAAAATACCCTACTTTGAGACAAATGAAGAATTGTATTGATCGAAGTTCCCTGTGTAAGAAAAGGTGAGAAAAGAGTCTATTATCATGAAGACTTTCCAATTGTAAGAAGTCGAAAGAATGCTTTTACGAGGTAAGCTAAAATAAAATTTCAATAGGGATGAAGTGAACTTTGCATCGAGGAGTAAAACTTGCATATACGGTATTCTATCTTATATATGACCGATATACCAAATCGCGACTAGACTACTTCAACTGCACATGTCCGATACTGACTTCGTTACAATCTTTCAAACACCGTTACATTGCAAGACTTGCATTGAAACTGTTGATGACGCACTCAAAGATGTAAGTGGCGTCAAGAACGTTGATGTGGATTTACAAGCGCAGAGAATCGCAGTTAAGGGCAGTGCTCCCCCTTCTGCAATTGTGAAAGCGTTGAGCAATATTGGTAAAGATGCGATTATAAGAGGCAGTGGAAAGCCGGATTCTGCGGCAGTTTGTATTTTGGAGTCCTTTCAACCGCAGGACCTGGATAAGCCGGTAAAAGGTCTTGCTAGGATTGTTGAAGTAGCCCGTGACCAAGTTGTCGTGGATTTAACAGTCAATGGTGTCAAACGAGGTTTTTATTACCCTCTGATTAGAAGTACTGGTGATCTTAGTCGTGGCCCACTATCCACTGGCTCCATACTTCAAAAGCTCGCGCAGTTCGAAGCATGCGACTTTGATGAGACCGAACTGAAGTCTGAAGAACGGGAATCAGCCGAAGTGTTCGCTGGTCACACATTCATCAGCGCAAATTTGAGCGTAAAGGATTTGATAGGTAGAAGTATGGTTCTTTCAACAAACGAAGATCGGGTAAACCAGCACGATATTTGCGGAGTGATTGCACGCAGCGCAGGAGCTTGGGAGAATGAAAAGGTCGTATGTAGCTGTTCTGGAAAGGATCTCTGGCAAGAGAGGCAAGATGCAATCAGACAAGGGATACTGAGCTGAGTTCTCTCTCTGAATAGATCGTCCGTGTATACAGTTAAAATCGATTTCAACACCGCGATACCACCTAATTATCCACAACCCCCGCTCTCTTTCAACTGCGATACACAGTCCACTGGCCATGAACCACCTATCCCACGGAGACTCGCCCTCCACGGAGAAGGATTTTCACTATTTTGAAATCCGTCGCGTGCTCCTTGAACTGAAGGAATCCTTGACATCGAAGCGGTCCCTTCTGATAAACATCTCGAGTTTTCCAGATAGCACTACCCTAAGCTCGGTACTTTTAGTGCTCCAAGAGATTCTTCTCGAACTTAACTCATACATTGAACGTCTCCTGTTGGCTGATAACAAGATGGAACATCTTCCTGATGAACTACTCAATGTTTGTGACGATCGGTTGAAGGTTCTCGATCTCCATTCAAATGATTTACATGAATTTCCAGTCATGATTTGCACTTGTTTTTCAAGGCTCGAGTTCCTTGATGTATCTAGCAATAGGCTCAAAGGACTTCCGCATCAAGTGTCCTTGTTAGCAGACTTGCGTGTATTACATCTATCCAATAATAACTTCTCCTATCTCCCGCCGACCTTAGGAGAGCTTATATCCCTAGAGAGATTGACTGTCTCCGGGAATCCCCTAGTTATTCCCTCGCAACAGACCTTCCAGTCTCTTGAAAAAGATACGAACCGCTTAAAAGCGTATTTACTTTCTAACTCGGTTATTCTAGAGCAGAACATCAACCAACAGGTCAATAAGCTGAAGCCGACATCGCTTTCAGCAATGAGATCCAGATCTGTATCGGACACTAGATCCAAAAGCTCCAAGGCATCGAGGCGAATGGGTTTAATTATAAATAAAGCCAAGAACCCAAACTCCAAAGACGTGTTGCACAAGAGCGATGAGCCCAACAATACATCAGATTTCAATCATTTAAAAAGTCACCTGGATGGTCAAGAGGCCCAACTGCCGATGAAAGTTTCCTCTCCATCTAGAACCAGACTGCGACAGAATACGATGATTGAAATTAACGACATGCTTCAGCAACCCGAGCTAAGCGACACGGAGTATAAATCGGGAGCATATTTTAGACGTCTTTCCACTTTGCAGGAAATACCATACGGGGATGTTGGCAAAGATCTAGCCAAGGTCGATCGGCTCTCTGAAATCACAAAGGCCCCCGAGCTTCTGACTACTTCTTCGCCGAAGTTTCCAGGGTCAAATCGTAATCTCGCAAATACAGGCTCAAGCTCCATAGCAAACGAGACCCAAGGGACTGGAAATCTTGTTGGGACAGAGCCGAGCACCTTGGAGTTGACTTGTATTTTAAAGATAGCACGAAAGATTTTGTTCGCTTTCAGTGAATTCCATTCGTCGATCAAAAGATTAACCGGCTTTTGTATCGATCGAAAAGTTGCAGCGAAGACCATCTCTTTGCTTCACAATTCAAAAAGTGACATTGATACTTTAGTCGAGAGTATGGAAAATGCTGAAGAACGAAAAGAAGAGAATGGTGATCTTTTTGTTGCTGTTGCAGGCTGTGTGCACTCATTTAAACATATTTTACTGTTTTTGATCGAAAATTTTGCGTTTTTCGTGGCTCGAATCGATGTTTGTTTCGTAAGGATGGTCTATTTGACCATATTCGGTGCGTTCAACGAGTTACAAAACGCACATAAACTTTTAAACCCGAGTGTTAAACATCAGAGTCATAAATCGCAAGGCATAACCGCTGACATCAGGGCCAAGCTTCTGGTTGCAAGTCAAATTCCGGAATTTCATGGTGAAGGAGCTAAAGAAAGTCAAATGAACCACTCGCACCTTCATATGGCTGAAAGTGGTCTATCAATTGATGAAGCTGATGACAGACTTTATGACTCAATCCAGGTAGCTGTGGCCAATGCCCAAGTTGTTTTCAATGAACTAACTAAAGCCATAAACAAAAGCGCTGTGGCCTCCACCAATAATGGTCCGCAAGTGATGAATACCACAGTTGCTTCGAAATTTAAGGATTTAACTAACACATGCATGCTATTGATGGAGATTACAAAACGACTCTCTGCGAAGCTTCCGAGCGTCAGAACCACACACGCCCTACAAAGTAAAAAATCTTTTTGGGACGACATCAATGCCTTTTTGAAAGCAATCATCCAGACATTCTCATCTGTGAAACTCATCATGAAAGATGCCCCAATATTGAACGAGGTGCGTCAATCCATGGCAAATCTCACGAGGGCTACGAAAGAGCTAACCATTCTTCTTGAAGCATCCTCCTATAGTAGCTTTTCAGATGCCAATCAGGCTACGTCTGTCGCTTGGAATAATTCGCACACTAATTTAGCACATTACGGCAATCTGTCGGCGCCTGTGAGGACACCGCTCGTTGCTACCGTTGGTGCTGCTGCTGCTCAGGCCATAATGCCTGGAAATGATGGCCAGTCCAGTTCTTTCTTCCCGCCGATGGCAGGAGAGCCTACTGCCACTAATTCAGGTACGACTACAGATCACAATTACTTTACTTACACAGAGTAATTTTAAATTTTTGCAATGATAAGTACGAAAATTTAAGCGGACATTGGTATAGTTACTTCCACTTTCATCACGCTGGGGCTAAACACATCCAATAGGATGGCGGCTTTGGTGACGGCTATTTTTATTTGATCATACAGTTGAGTCAGTAAATGAGGGAAATCATCGCAAGGACTGTTTCATAATTCATAAATAGAAATAACCTTATTACTACAAGCCGGGTACCTTTTGTTACAAGATTGTATTGTTCCAAGACGAGACTCAAATATTATGCACACAGTCCCCGGAGACACCGCGGCACCATGTACGGTACACCGATGTTGTCCAAAGGAAGGATAATTCCGCGGCTCCGCCGCGGGAGCTTATCTAGCCATAATTTATATAAGCTGCTGCCTATGAATGCACAATTAATACTTCAGAAGCAATGTCAAAATTAATCATCACACCCTCGGCAACCAATTTCGGTTGTTCTTTAAAATTACCATCCTATGCTCGAAATGACCCTAGCTTGTTGAACGAGGAAGACTTCAAGCTTCTTCATGACGCTGTGCTCACTTATCTTGTAGCTGTCATTCCTAACCAAGAGTCCTTGAGCCCCCAGAGCCAATACAGACTTACTCAAAGGTTTGATGAGCTGATTTCGAATCCTGAAAATGGTAACGCGGGGTACGGACATGGGAAAGAGTTTCGCCATGATAACTCAGTCTTGAAAAAAGACGGGTGCTCGGTTAAGTCTCAGCCACAAGTTCAGATCCTTGGGCAGGGAACTTTTGCAGCTGACGAGCCAGGAAACGAAAATGGGGAAGACATTGTTTTAACTCACCCGTCGCATACGACTTTTCACAGCGACCCGCTAACCCCAGAACAGATTCAAATCGAGAAACGGACTCGATTCTATAGGTGGCATATTGATTCAGCCTTATACGACCTCTCCCCACCCAAGGTAACTACTTTACTAGGAATCAAGGTGCCACCTGCAACCCAAATGCAAACTATCGATTATGAGGATGGTTCTGGTGACAAATTGAAAATTCTGCAAGGAGCAACTTGCTTTGTTAGTGGGAATGAGGCATTCGAGAGGCTCTCGGAATCAGAGAAGGAGTTTGCTCTCAATTCTGTCGTTGAATATGCACCTCATCCGTATATCTTTATTTCTCCGGCAAAAGCTACAAAGGACGGTTTAACAATGGTTTCTGAGGGAAAAGAAACACCGCTTGCAGAGTTGCCTGAGTGGGAAGAAGGTAAAGTGAAAAAATTACCAATGGTGTGGACCAACCCCGTTACGAAGAAGCATCACTTACAAGTACACGGTTGCTGTCTTTATAAGATCCATACAAAGCAGAATGGACGTGTGGTGTCCTTGGGATTGGAGGATGCACGTAAGAAAGCCCACTCGATGATGAGGCCGGCAATTTCTCCACCGAATGTACTTGCCCATTCATGGGCGCAAGGAGACCTTGTGATGTTTTACAACAGGGGGGTTTGGCATTCTGTGACAGGAGAGTTCAAGGGTGTAAATCAAGGTCAAGATGAAAAACGCCTTATGCATCAATGCAATATTGCTAGCTCTACAGATCCTGTCACAGTTATTTGAAAGGCCTGTTTATTCATTTTCTATGGTTTACCCACTTTATAGTTAATTTATGACACAGTTCGGTTGCCCAATCCAGAAACCTCAGGATGTACTGGTGTAGATATAAATCTCAGAGATCTGGAATCGTTGAGAACCCAAGAGATGGGTCAGTTCACGACATTGGCGACCTGTAATTTGAATCAATGGGCTCTTGATTTTGAAGGTAATCGTGATAGGATTATAAGGAGCATTGAAATTGCCAAGGAACGCCATGCAAAGCTTCGAGTGGGACCAGAATTAGAGATCACAGGTTATGGTTGCTTGGATCATTTTGACGAGAACGATGTATTCAATAATTCGTGGCATATTTATGGAGAAATTTTGAAGCATCCATCTACGTCTAATATTATTCTCGATATTGGAATGCCCGTTCTTCACAAGTCCAACCGTTATAACTGTAGGATGATCAGTTACAACGGCCAATTACTCTTGATTAGACCAAAGTTGTACCTCGCAAACAACGGAAACTATAGAGAGATGAGATACTTTTCACCTTGGCTTCGTCCAAGACATCATGAGAAATTTCAATTGCCTGAGTGCATCAAGTCTATCACTGGTCAATCTGAGGTCCCTATCGGTGATTGCGTAATTCAAACAGATGATACCAGGATTGGAGCAGAAACTTGCGAGGAGCTCTTTACCCCGCAATCCCCTCACATCAGTATGGCTTTGGATGGAGTCGAAATTTTCACTAACTCGTCTGGCTCGCACCACGAACTCAGAAAACTAGACACGAGATTGGAATTAATCTCTGAGGCAACGAAAAAGTGTGGGGGCGTATACTTGTATGCTAACCAGAGGGGTTGTGATGGTGATCGTCTTTACTATGATGGCTGCGCTTGCATTATTGTCAACGGAAAAATGGTCGCCCAAGGAAGTCAGTTCTCACTCAAAGATGTGGAGGTTGTCACTGCTACGATCGACCTAGATGATGTCAGAGCCTATAGGAACCAAAAGTCTGCTGCTTTACAATCTGTGGCACAATCAACAGCATACCACTCCATACCAACTCATTTCAAGATAGCTTCGAATACCGACGTCCTCAACAGTGAAGTGAGAGCTTCCGAACAGCTAGGTATCAAGTATCATGCCCCCGAAGAAGAGATCGCCCTAGGCCCAGCATGTTGGCTCTGGGATTATTTACGACGCTCAAGAACTGGTGGATTCTTCCTTCCCCTTAGTGGTGGAATAGACTCATGTGCTACTGCTGTCATTGTACACTCAATGTGCCGTTTAGTATCATCAGAGATAGAAGATGGAAATGAGCAAGTCCTCGATGACCTCAGAGCGCTAACGCATGACGAGGGCTTGAACTCTGTGACGGCCCAAGAGGTGGCTTCCAAACTCTTCTATACCTCGTTCATGGGAACATCTAATTCCTCGCTGGAAACTCGTGAACGAGCAAGAGACTTGGCTCTTGAAATTGGATCAAATCATGTAGATTTGAATATGGATAGCCTCGTTTCAGCAGTCATCAAGGTATTTGAGGTTGCCACCGGTCGTCGTCCAATCTTCAAGGTCTTTGGCGGAAGCCAGACGGAAAATCTTGCATTGCAGAACATTCAAGCGCGATTACGTATGGTTCTAAGCTACTTATTCGCTCAGCTTTTGCCATGGACAAAGAACAGAGTAGGTGGGCTACTTGTACTCGGCAGCGCAAATGTTGACGAGTGTTTGAGAGGTTATCTTACAAAGTATGATTGTTCAAGCGCTGATATCAATCCTATTGGCGGAATCTCGAAAACTGATCTCAAGAAGTTCATAAGCTGGGCAAGTGCTAAATTTTCTTTGCCTATACTTCACAAGTTCTTAGAGGCTACTCCAACGGCCGAGCTTGAGCCAATCACCGAGAATTATGTTCAGTCAGACGAGATCGATATGGGAATGAGTTATTTGGAGCTTTCACGCTTTGGTAAATTACGAAAAGTTGAAAACTGTGGGCCCGAATCGATGTTTGTTAAGTTGTATCATGAATGGTCGCAACCTCCTTTTAACTACTCAGCTGCCACAATTGCAGATAAGGTCAAGCGATTTTGGTTTTTTTACGCAGTTAACAGACACAAGATGACCACTATGACACCCTCATATCACGCTGAGCAGTACTCACCAGATGATAACAGATTCGACTTGAGACCGTTTTTGATAAATCCAAGGTTCCCATTGGCGAGCAAGAATATTGATCAGCTCGTTAAAAATATTGAAAAATTTGAGGGTAATTGAATTCATCAGAAAGTTGTCAATGAACTTCTCCTCCCCATAGTGTCCTGATTGACGAGTGTTTGCGCTCTTTACCGTTCACGTCATGCCTTCGTATAAATTCCATGATGCTTATGCAAAGCTTGGATGGTGAATCCTCTTGCACAAAATGACCAATTTCGGCCGAATTGTTAAATACAATTAATTGATATTTCCCTTGCATTTGCCCGACAATTAAGCTCTTGTCTAGATTCTCATTTCCTGCTAGAATAAGGAGCTTAGCGATATGTTTGTCGGAGAAAGAATCGCAGAGAAGGTAGTGATCTGACATTCCCGTGAACCAATCTTTCCAAAATGGGGCCATTCGTTCAAGATCGGTGCGCCAGTGGAGGTCCCCCAGATCATCAACCTGTAGCATGTCATGAACACTAAGCTTCGCTGAATCCTCATTTCTCAAAATTCTAGTTTTCAAGTGCCAATTGAGAGCATCATCGTAGAGTTGGAATGTTTTGGGCCTCAGACTCAAGAAAGATGGCATGGCATTGAGAGAGCGGATGGCCGTTTCCTCCACAATGTCGATTAAAACCAAACCTGTTACTTGGCAATTATTCTTGTGCTTGACGAGGAAGTTGGACATAATTGCACCACCTAAAGAATGACCTATGAAAAAGAGCTGACGAGGTTTGTGTCGCTGCACAAATTTGTCAAGGACAAACGAAAAATCAACAGTCAACTCCTCCAACCCATACTCATGAGACTTTCTATCCGTTGATATTCCGTGACCAAACATGTCAAAGAGGAATACACCTGGATGATCTGAGGGGTATACCTTTAGTAACTCGGATACAAATGCAAGGAATGTCAGTCCTGAGGATCCAGCACCATGGTGACATATCAAAATTGGTGATGTTGCCAGGCTTGGAGGAAGATAATACGTTTGAACATAATGATAACAATCTAAGTAGTATCTGTCCCGTATGGGTAGAAGTGCATCTCTTTGTTTGAAAAAGTTCTCTTTGAAATGGCGATTGGCAATCTCCCGTTCTGAGCCTACACCCACTTCCGGCGTGGAATCATTCTCCAGACAACGAGCATGATTCTCTGGTTTTCGTCCCTCGAAAAGCTTCTTGCGCAATTCACTCATAGAACTCGCGGAAACTCATTCAGAGTAGGGTATTTGCCTTACTTCATTCCTTGGATGATCGCAGCGTGTCACCCAATACTCACGTGTATCCTCATGTGCGAAGCAGAGATGAGCCATACGATTCTTCACACTTTCATTGTCAGTGCATCTTTATGAATGATCTCACCGTTCATTTCAGAAATCTAGCCCTTGCTACATTCGTGGCATATCGTGCTTTATGTAACCTAGAAACACCGGTGGCGTGTATCATTGTTCATGGGGAGACCGGCGAGGTTTTGGCATTCGGATGTAACGATACTAATGCATCTCTCAATGGGACTCGCCATGCAGAATTTGTTGCTATAGATCAAATTATGAAAAAATTTCAGCTTTGCGATGTCTCTCAAGATCAGGTCGAGAAATTTTTCAGCCGTCTTGTCTTGTACGTCACCGTGGAGCCTTGCGTTATGTGCGCTCTGGCGTTACAGCAAATGGGGATTAAGGAAGTATATTTTGGTGCTGCAAATGATCGTTTCGGTGGAAATGGCTCTGTCTTCAAAATACAAACTGCCTCCTGCGGTCCATCCTACAAGAGCTTCGGCGGTCTTATGAGGGTGGAGGCAATTCATTTACTACGATGCTTTTATGTGCAAGAAAACGAAACGGCGCCTACTCCAAAAATCAAGAAGAACAAAGCAATTGAAGGAAAAGAGTTTCCTCCGAATCTTCCTTTCGACCGATTCCTATCTGAAAGCGAATTCAGTTCATGTTATGGAACTGCTAGAACAGCAGAGTTTTATCCTGGTCCTCGAGATGGGATTGAAATTACCCCTGTCTTCGAGCACGGCTATATTTTCAAAGACCTTATAGATGTTAGTGATGTCGAGGGAATTCCTGGTGTCAGGTCTCTATATCCTAAGGGTGAGCTTACAATAAAGGATGATATTCAGAGGCTCAGCGACATGCTACCTTTTATTGGAGATAATGGGGTAGTGGGATGGCACCATGATCGCCAACTTTCATCGCAAGAAAAAAATTAAGGTACAGTTCTGGGCCTTGGAATTAAATGTGGCTTGTTAAGTCGAGACTTCGAGTAGTGCCTTCAAACCGTGATGCGGCTTCATTGGGCGCGATATTGATGTATAACGAGTCACATAGGGAACTGATACAAGAAGGGGCGATCACTTGGATCACAGAGTTTACAAAAGACTGTCTTTTAATAAGAACATGAAAGTATAAAGCGGTTTGACCGCCCGAGGTTTGTCCTTTCATCGTTTACCCACCACTTGAAAATGTTACTCGTGCTGTGACGGAGTGGTCTAGACAAGGCGACGTACCTGATAAATGCATGTAATTAACGCAACTGATGCATACATTTTCCCTGGCGCGAATAGGAGCCATGAAAGGCTTTGTTGGTATTGTATATAAGCTTCCTGCTGCACCAGGCACCCTTGATTCGCGAAGAAAGAAAAAATTGCGGCACTATATAAATCTATTCAAGATTCCTCCCAAACTCCTTCATTCCACTAACTAAACACATTCCTTCAAAAGCTCGGGAGAGATCTCATTCACGCCGTTCCTTCCTTCAAATCATTCCTTCACCCCAGTCATTCCCTTGTTAAATTGTCCTCAATATGAGATTACTCTCCTTGGCCGTCTGTCTTTCCTTTGTTTCAAAATTGTCCGCATCTCCAGTCCCAGCTGTCAAGTGGGTAACTGAATATGAATATACCACAGTAACTGTTGGCTATGATGCGTACACTGCGTATCTTGCTTCGGCTTCGGCTTCCAAGAATGTGGAGGCGGGTCCTACCGCGGTTACTGATCAGTCCACTGCGGAACCCGAGAATACAGAAGCTCCAGAGCCCCAGGTCACGGAAGCACCTAAAACTACTGAGCTTCCACAAACATCTACTACTCCACAAACTACTGAAAAACCCTCAACTCTGAGTATTGCTACCAGCATCAAATCGCAAACCCCAACTTCGACTGAACCAGCTTCAACTACAAGCGATTCAAGTGAACCATCAGGTGCTACTTTCTCTGGTGAGGGCACCTACTATGATCCTGAGATGGGTGCTTGCGGTAAGGTGAATTCTGCTGACGAGATGATCGTGGCTATTTCTCATGAATTGTACGACGAGTACACACCAAATGGAAACCCAAACAAGAACACCCTTTGTGGTAAGAAAATCAAGGCTTCTTACGAAGGGAAGTCTGTCGAAGTCAGTATTGTGGACAGATGCGTTGGTTGCGCCCATGACGATTTGGACTTGTCCCCAGCAGCTTTTGAAAAGATCGCTGACAAAGATCTTGGAAGAATTAACCTTACCTGGGAGTGGGCCAATTGATTTTCTTTTAAATAGTATACCCTTTTTTTGTTTATTTGGAATTTACTAAGTTATAAATTGACGTTGTAGAAGTAGTAGCTGGTATCCTTCACATAGTATTGCTTGATATATCAAGATGCGATCTTGAGGGTACATATTATCCAGTGGACCCTCATGAATAGTTCGGACGATGATTTCAGTGACCATGATTCCGGGGTGGACTTGAGAGACGAGCCTTTGCTGCCTGACACTGAGGGCATGGCCAAAAGAACTAGATTGAAGAAGGTCAATAATGGCAAACAGGGAGCTTCCGGTGGGTATGCTTGGGAAGATGAGTACCAACGAACATGGGACATTGTTAAAAATGATGAAGACGGTGAACAGTCTCTCGAAAATTTGGTACAGCAGATGATCGAATCAAGGAAGAAAAAGATCATGAGAAATCCAGCAACACCTTTTCAAAGAGGAATCATTAGAACTCTAATAGTTGTCATTGATGGCTCCTTGGCGATGCTAGAGAAGGATTTAAGGCCTACAAGGTTTTCTGCGATGCTTTCTTACTTGCTGGAATTCATCAACGAGTTTTTTGACCAAAATCCCATTTCACAGCTCGGAATCGTCATGATGCGTAACGGTATGGCACATCTCGTTAGCGAGGTTAGTGGGCTGCCTCTGTATCATCTTGATAAACTCAAAAATCTTCGATCACGGCAACATAATCGTTTTGAGCCGAAAGGGGATCCCTCTCTTCAAAACGCTTTGGAGTTATCCCGGTCACTTCTCACCTCAAACTTCCAGGGAATAACCTCAACCTCGAATAAGAACTCCAAAGAAATTCTCATTATATTTGGTGCTCTTTTCACATCTGACCCAGGAGATATACACAAAACAATAGACGCACTCGTCAAAGAGAGCATCAAAGTCAAAGTTATAGGTTTATCGGCACAGGTTGCAATCTGCCAAGAGATCGTCAGGCGAACCAATTTTTCCACTTCACCAAGAGGCAAGTTGGTAGCTGAGACCGGAAATTTCTATGGAGTTATCATGAATGAGGCACATTTCAAAGAGCTTCTCATGAACTGTGTGGAACCTCTTGCCCTTACCACAAATTCCGTTGATGCCAGTAATGGCCAAACAAATGGGATTCCTCTCATCAAAATGGGATTCCCACTGAAGCTTCAATCTCACTCTTTCACATCCAATCAGACCATAAATTCTAATTTTCCTCAACTTTGCGCTTGCCATCTTTCGCAGACACAAGATGATTCGACGGATCAAGTGCAGCAAAACCAAGCCACTGATCTTCAAGGTTCGTCGAGTTCGGCTGGTTACAAATGTCCGCAATGTAACAGCAAAGTGTGTCATCTTCCTACAACTTGTCCCGTTTGTGGACTCATGCTCATTCTTTCCACACATTTGGCACGTTCTTACCACCATCTTGTACCTCTTGCTGCCTTTGAAGAGGTTCCAGTCTCGAACGAATACCAAAACCGATTTTGCTATGGATGTTTACTCAAGTTTCCAGAAGGATTGGCTAGTCTGGCGGAATTGACTCAGACAAGTTCTCGCTATAGATGCGGCAGATGCCGAAATGATTTTTGCATAGATTGTGACGTCTTTGTACATGAAAGTCTACATAACTGTCCTGGTTGCGATAGCCTTGCTCAATAAAATAATCATGATCTCTATCAACGCGTCCCTCTCCAAAATTTGTAATTCAGGGATCAACTATTCTTCCAACCGGAAGTTTGCTGGTTGTTGGAGTTGCCCCAAGTTGAAGAACTTCCCTGACCGGAACCCCAACTTGAATTACCTCCGTCCTTTTGGCCCCATGTGGATGAATTGCCCTTGGAGCCCCAAGCAGACGATGCTCCGTTGCCACCATTGCCTCCCCAGGTTGATGAACCACCCTTGGAACCCCAGGTTGACGAAGACCCCGCCTTTTGTTGACCCCACGAAGAGTTCATTCCGGATTGGCCTCCCCAGGCTGAGCTATTACCGCCTGAGCCCCAACTAGAGTTGCCTCCGTTACCCCAGGCTGAATTTCCCCCAGGTTGATTAGTGCCCCAAGTGGACGCTCCACCACTCTTTCCGCCTTTCCAAGACGATGCACCTCCAGAACTAGAAGGTGCTCCCCATGTTGATGCTCCGCCTGCAGCTGTACCCCATGCTGAGACTCCCCCATTGTTGACAGAAGGCGTCTTACCGCCCCATGTTGAAGCAGAGCCGGGAGCAACGGAAGGAGTTGCACCTCCCCATGCTGTTTTTGCTCCTGATGAAAACGCAGGCCCAGACGCTTGCGTAGGGGCACGCGCACTGTCGGAAGCACCAATGAAGCGAAGGTAAGGTATGGATTCTCCACGAACGATTACGCTTAATTTGGTCTTGTTGACTTTCACTTTTTTCGCTTTGGTGTGCAACTCGATACGAGCGTCCATGTCATCAGTCTCAACAACTTTCCCCATGAGGCCCTTATGGTTTCCATTGTTGATGATAACATCCATGTAGAGTAGCTTGTCTCTGCCACCAACCCTTCCTTTAATACCTGGAGCAATCAATGGCGTCTGTAATTTTGCATTTGGGTTCATGCTAGTCAAGTCAGGTCCTAGAGATTTGGAAATCATTGAGTTTTTGGTGGAAATTGTGCCGACATTCAAAGCATTGGTGACAAAAATACCAAGGTTCTCTTGAATCTCATGAGATTCAACAAAAATAGAATTCTTGTAGATGTGCAAAACAACTCCCTCTTTTCTCTTGTCACCTCCAAATTCCTTCACTGTGTCGCCGACCTTGATAGTCAGGCCATTTCTGTCTGTAGCGACCTGCTCACGTCTCGTCAAACTCAACTTTGATGCGATACCTGTCAGTTTTACGGTGACAGAACGTGAATCTGCTGTCAATATTTCAAACAAGCCTTTCTCTGACTTCACAATCACACCAACTGTGGACGCATTGAGTTGAACCAAATCCTTGATATCATATTTGCTGTTGACGGAATCGGTTGTTGATGAGGAGTCTGTGGCCTTTATCAAGTAATTGGCGAATACCCGAACATCTTGCTTAGTCTGGTCACTCAAAAACACCACTGAATCTCCATCAATTTTGATGACAAGACCAGTCTCATCGGTATGGACACCATCAATGACTTTTACATGGTCACCTGATGCAAAAACCTTCCTGAGGTCTGTGGCGGGAACAGTCAATTCTTGATTCACAAATTGGCGATCACCGCTATCAAGCACTATAATTTGGACTTCATTAAGGGAAACGTTGAGAACCTTACCCACTGTTTTGGCTTGTTCGCCTCTTCTGACCTCGACCTTATCACCCGGCTGAAAAGCATTGGAGAAATCTCCGTCCAGAGATTTTCCTTTAAGGGAAGCTGCGACAGCTGCAAGATCAAGTCCATCCTCATCCGTGTTACCTGTTTGAAATCTATCCAAATCTTCCAACTTAGGCTGCACATCTTTCGTTTGAATGAATTGTAACTTAAAATCTTTCATTAAGAAGCCCTCGACGTATTCTTCGCCGCGATAAATAAAACTTCTTACCCCTCTTCCCGGCTGCAAATGCTCAGCATCGTACATACGGGCTTCCTGCTCATTGAAAAGGCGTTGCATTGGCCTGCTTTTCAGTTTCACCCTTCTTCCATTAGAATCGAATTCGTCATTCTTGCCGTAATCAAGTCGAGGTACCAACTTACAACGAACCTCAAGTCCATTCTCCGATAAATTGTCAACGATTGCTAAGTCTCCTTTGTACTTTCCTCTCGAAATACGGACATAAATACCAGGAACAATCTCGACATCGGAAGATTTCACTTGCTTGAGCAAATCTGGATACTCACTGACTGGAACTATGATCCTTTGCTTCGCATATATGTTAACCATACCAGTCAATGCACGTTCAATGGCTTCCGGTTTTTTTGCTTCGATGTAAATGTAACCCTTGAAAGCATCTCTTTGAAAAACTGTGAGGATATCAAGGGGCCGGCCCGAACGTGCCAATGTCCGCTTCTTTTCGTAAAGCTTTCTCACAAGATCCTTTTCACGTCCTGGGGAACAACGGATTGCGAAAATGGCAGGGTCGTTGATGGATGGCATCAATAACTTTTGCGAAACGGTTCCACTTGCAGTAGTGTCTCCACGGTAAGCGGTATGGGATTTTCTATAACGTTGCTTCAAAGTCTCCGCAAGTTCTTCGGCGTCTTGGTCTTCAGCTTGTTGGCGGCGTTGATCATATTGCCTATGAAGACGATCATCGTCAGGACGGGTTGGCTCACCTTCTGACTTCTCAACATGGTCATCAGAGATAAATTGTTCACGTAAGAGCTCGGCCTCTTCATCATCTTCATCGAGTTCATCTTCCTCCTCATCATCAACTTCAGCTTCGATATCAAGGAACTGGTTTGCTCTTCTTCTCTTCTTCTTTTTTGGCAGATCATCTTCGTCGTCCTCAGCATCTTCATCATCAATCAGATTATCATCACGCTCGTTCAACTCGTCCTCATCATTACCATCGCTTTGTTGAGCGTCTGCTTCACTATCATGAGGTCGGGAAGACTCTTCGTGCTGTGAGTTTTTGTCATAAGATTCACGAGCACGTTTATCACCGCTTTGAGCAGCTCCAACTGGAGAAGACGATCCACTTTGTATAGTGGTGGCCTTTTCCTCCGACATTTTGTGGTGGTGTTTCAATGATCTGTTGGTAGTATGTAAGTGCTGAATTTTCTGTCAGCTCAAATCGTGCGCACACCGAGCGATCACGAGGGCCAGTTAGGAAGGATCTGTAAGATGATTATTTAGGACATTCTAGCGAATCCTCAAATGCGTGACTGATAATAATTCATGATACAGGTATGATACAATGTATTTATTGTTCATGTGAATATCTCGTAATTGATACCAGTTATGTTACTTTTGGGGGTGTTTCTAGTTCTACTTTGTAACGCTGTCGCGCGAGAGGTCTCTGGCCCGGCATTTGAGACTATAGATTGTGAAAACAGGTTAACAGTTGAAAGTCTCGTAAGGACCAACATTACATACCTATGTCAAGGTTCCCTGAGTTTGTTGATTCACTCACTGAGACTTGAAATCAGTGAATTCGCGGGATTTTTGCAATCAGGGATTGCCGATTCACCAAATGACTGGATTGAGATCGAGGTAGGAGATCATGAGGAGACAGAAGAGTTAAGTGGAGTACCTTACACAGGGTGCCTTAGTTTAGAAGACGGTGCAAAAGGCAGTCTTCAGGCGACCATCTCACATACCTACGGTATAAGCGCGTCAACAAATTTCAAAATCGCGTTGTTGAATGTCCTCATGGCTAAACTCTCTCACGGAATTGAGAGCACAATGGGTGGAAGCACCACCATGACCGCAGAGTACGTCTGCGTCGGTAGTCCAAAGGAGACTGTCCAAATTCAACTAACCCGCAAGTTTCACGTATTTAAGGAAAGCCGCTGGAGACGATTGGAGTTTAAGCCTCACATCAAGTTTCTAACAGTATCCCGCGGACCCTGGAACATCATGTCTCACTTAAAAGCTTTGGTCTCCTCACCAGTTGTGAGATGTGTATCAGATCCAAAGTTACTTCAATGTGGCACACTGCTCTAAACGAGCGTACGCCTGCGCGTAGCAAACCTACTATTGAATGTGGCATCGTGGGTAGATGAGGTACGGGTTTACCAGTTCCTCAAAAACGTAATTTTTTAGATGTTGGGAAGTTACCCAACTATAACCATTAGATATGACTGAAATCGAAACCATTGCGCAAGAGTTGAAATCTTCCCTTAAGCAATTTGAAAATTTTCCTCAAGAAGGCATTTTGTTTGAGGACTTTTTGCCAATTTTTGCGAAGCCCGAGCTTTTCAGAAAACTAGTTAAAGCATTTCAATTGCATCTTGGAGACACCAAAATCGACTACATTGTGGGATTAGAGAGTAGAGGGTTTCTATTTGGGCCAGCTTTGGCATTGGCAGTTAACGCAGGATTCGTTCCCGTAAGAAAGCCTGGAAAGCTTCCAGGGCCAACCTTGAGAGCAGAATTCCAGAAGGAATATGGAAAAGACTCTTTTGAGATCCAAGAAGGGGTTCTTCCCAAAGGTTCCAAGGTTGTTATTGTTGACGATATATTGGCCACTGGTGGAAGCGCAAGTGCCGCAGGAGAACTTGTCAGCAAAGCAGGCGCAGATGTTCTCGAATATCTCTTTGTCATGGAATTAGAGTTTTTAAAGGGACGCGACATTTTGAAGAGTCCCTCCTTCACGTTGTTGTCAGGACAGAAGAAGTAGTGAACTTCAACTGCGATGGCATACCACTTCTTGTTAGACACATCCAAGAGATGTAATTGTTATAGAACAATACAGTTTAATTCTTGAAAATCAAAAACGCAAGATCGTTGATGTAAAAGTAAGCAAAGTACCCTTGTTCGTGAGTCACGTTTGATCCGAACGATTTGCCAACAATAACATGCCATGAAGCTCCATAGAGTAAGTCAAGCTCTTTCTTCAAATACGTTGCGATATCTTTTTCCACTTTGTAAGTTCTTGTAGCATCCATCGAGAGCTCAAAAACCTTGGTTTGAACTTCATCGGCGAGATCCGAGGCTTTTAAGATAGCTTGCATTAGTAAATTCGAGACAATTCCACGTCACCATCATTGAGCAATCCGAGAATGGTAACGCAATTTTAATGTAACATACGTGTGAGATCCGATGGAGGTAGTTGTTCCATTTTTTGAGTGAGTGTTGTTTGAGTTACTCAAGCCAAGTCTTAAGTTGAAGCTGCGAACTGGTAAGCGCACAATACACAAGCACACAGAAGAATCTAACAACCATGATGGGCAATTGCTGCGCTTGAATACTGATTTGTCATGAGTAAAGAGAAAAGTCTCGGCAGCATCATTCACAATGGACGGCAAACGGAGGATCAGTAGCAAGCGGAACTTAAAGCACCCCTTTGTAAGCAACTGAGGCTGGAACCCCACTTTATAACGGAATATAAAGACGAGGATTTCCGCCCATAAATAGCTTGCCCTTCAACTACGTTTCATGCAATAACCCGAAATGAACAAATACGGCTTCGATAGTATCACGAGAGACCCCACGAAGGCCATAACTAGTCGCAATGGACCAACCCCGCAAAAACCAGAACTTCCAGACTCTCCCTTGGACCGGAAAGTTTTGGCGTATGCCTCCAAGGAGCTTCCCGAAAAGGTCCTCTACCACTCGCTTAGGGTCTATCTCTACTCAGTTGCAATAATCAATGATTATTTTCGCGAGTGGAATTTGGACAAGACTGTTCTATTTGCGACTTGCTTGCTTCATGATATTGGAACTACAGAAAAGAATATGGCAGCTACAAAGATGTCCTTTGAGTTTTACGGTGGCTTTATAGCAAAAGAATTCATTGAGGAAGAAGCCAAGGATAAGACTTTTGCGGAAGCAGTGTGTGAAGCCGTCATTCGTCACCAAGACATTGGCGATAGTGGAAACATCACAACATTAGGATTAATCCTTCAGATAGCCACCATCTTGGATAATGTGGGCAAGCATACTCAATACATCCACCCTGAAACGTTGAATTATGTCAACAAAAAGTACAGTCGCGAGGGTTGGTTAGCTTGTTTTGCTGCCTCGACAGATAACGAAAATGCCAAGAAGCCATGGGGCCATACAAGCAAGCTTGGAGTTCCTGATTTCAGCGAGGCGATTCTCGCCAATCCGGTTCAATACACCCAGTAAATGCACGAGCTACCAAGTATTGGACATTCAATGGTCAATAAATTTACAATACTTAATCACAAGGTGTAGTATTCAAAGTTGCGTATTTCGACTTCTAAGAATTCTGTAGACCATGTTCGGTGTTATCATTCAATGGGTGATTGTGTTGCACGCACCTACGTTACTCATGTAGAATCAATCAGTGCGCATACTGTCAACCACCAAGAACTCATCGCTCAGTTGGCCTCAAGCTGGAGAAAAGATTATGCCAAAATGCCTGATTTGCCATCGGTATCTGGTATAGTGACACATTTTTACAAGATTGCTCATCTACAACTGCTAGAGGTCCATATTTACACTGCGACAGATCCAACTCAAGATCAACTCTTACTAGAGCTCGAGCTTCATATACGAGACCAGCATCCTCGAATTTTGTTGACATACTACAACAAATGTCTATATCAATTCAAGCTAGGGCATATCGAGGCAGGGGTGGATTTGCTCAAGCCAGGGGACACTTCTAGTGCTAATCATGGCCGACTTGATGAACTATACCCGAAGCTCACTTTCAAAAGAGAGTTTACGGTAAATGCAGCCTCGCTTGCAAAACCTTCCAAGGGTCTGTCAAGTCAGGGTACAAATAAAAAAGATTCAGAGCCACTAGATGATCAATTGGCTTTTGTCAGCCTCACTTTCTTCAAGGCAGTAAAGAAGATGATTGTTTTCAACTTATGTCAAAATTCAAATAACTACTTGTTTGGCAACTACTTGGCGAGCCAAATACAAGGTGATAGCAGTCGACTCACGGTTATACAGATTGATCCTGTCGTATTGGAGAATGGAGATTTAATTGTGTCTCTATTCCAAACAAATCGTTTAGATCTTTGGTTCTCAAGTGTTATACAATTGAGTGCTTCGTCGATGAGTTTGACAAAAAATTTCGTCATCTATGTGATACCATCTGGCCTACGTTGCCATTTGTATGACACTTCCGATTATCATCTGACATTCACTCTCAGTCCTCCGAAATCGAGCAGCAATCTCCTTCGACTCTTGAAGCTAAGTACTGGAATTGACCTATCAAAAAGAGAAGAAATACTCTGGGCCAAATTGATCCCTAATCTTCAACACTTGAACAATCAAACCTCGAACATCTCACACTTTATACATGAAGTTGATAACAAGAAATTCATCTTGTGGCCTTGGGAACTTTGTCTTCTACAGTTTGGAGATGAGAGCACAAGCGAAACGGCCCTAGCTTCACCCTCGTGTAACACCGATCCTATGGATCTTTTGAATCGCTTCATGGATTTCAGTATCGCCTCCAAAGAGAGACACTTGCATTCAAAAGGCGAATCATTTCTGCCAGATGTGCCGATATCTACTGCTCCGCAGTTTTCTCAAAACTCGTCTGCTAATGGGGTCAGCCCCATTTCGACTGGTAAAAGTTCTGGGAATGCTGCTTTCATGGACGACACTTCTGTGAAACTTGAAACACCAGTCATGTCGATGACTGATGACCTTTCCTATCAGGACTTCCATCAGACTCCATCTGCAAACTCTGTTAAACCAGAGTTATCGGACGTTCCAAAGTGGAATGAGGAAAGACTGGAGACCCGTGAAGCAGCTGCAAGCGAGAAGTTCCACTCAGATTTGCCAAAAGTAAAAATTTTGGGTGACAACGAAAAAGAGGGTGAAAACGTCGGTGATGACGACGATGATGATGATCTTTTTGGTGAGAGCTCTGGGTCAGAGGTCAACGATGAAAATGTTGCTAAACCAAATGCAAAGAGTGACCTTCTTGTGACTGATGCTGATTCTAATCCAATAGTGTCTAAGCTTAGTGACGCAGAGGAGTTGTCAGCTAATCATGTTGCAAAAGAAGGCGCTGATTCGGCCTACAACCGTGTTTCAACGCCAGGATTAGACTCCCCATCAACATTTGTGAATATACCTCGAGACCAGATGATATCTGACAAGGATATTGGCTCCTACAAAGACCCTGGTGCCCCTCTACCGATCATTCCAACGCCTGTTGTCCCGGCTAGTGCGGTCTTCACACCTTCAATATCTGCATCGGAAAAAAGCTTCTTCAAAAGGGAAAAAAGACCTACGAATGATCGACCACCAGAAAATGCTGCTGTCAAGGAAGGTACAGGGTACGTCTTTTCACCCATCAGATTCAACCCTGTCATCAAAAGTAGCATTGATACGAAATACGGAAAAGGTGGAAAGTTTTACGTCGAACATGATGAAGCATCCGATCCTGAACATCGAAACCGGCGTTTTCGTGAAACCAGTGTCAGTCATGGGTCCCCACTTCAATTTTCTAATGAACTCGCAGCCAGGCAAAATGATATGAGTAAAACTTCTGAAAGGAAGGCTAAGAAGCAACCTATCGAAGGTAACCCTGAAGAAAACTCGAGTTTCACGAGCAAAGAACTCTCGGCTCCAATTAAGGATCAAGAGATTGATTTTGAGGTTCAGGAAGCTGCACAGTCTGGGATGCCTGACCATCAAGTTGGACGCCGCGTCGAAAATGAATACCCCCAGGACGGCTCTGCCAGTATTGATTGTCATCCTTACCGTCGTTCACATGGGAAGGATGACGATGACGATCTTGGTGAAGATGATGATGATGATGATGATGATGCTATGGAGGATAGCATGAATGAAGAGGACGAAGAGGAAGACGAGGAAGAGAGTGATGAGGATGAGGAGTATGGGAATGAGGATTTGGATACATCTCCTCTCAGGCTCAATACTCTCAACCAAGACCCTACTATTGTCGGTCATAATTCGTTAAATGAAACAGTGCGTCCCTTTCCCCCAGCAAATTCCAATATTGACATGGCGCAACAAGACTTATCTCCATACCCTTCAGGGCACAGACAGTGGGGCGGCAAAGACGAGATCCCTCCTGGGCCGGCTGGTCCGGTCCTCATAAATGATCCGGTCACGCAATCATTGTCACCATTACCCATTTATCCGAATGATACCAAAGAGGAGCTTGCAATTATCAGTAACGACTCAAAAGACATCGACACATCAATTCCTGCAACAAGCGCAGGAAGCCCGGTTACAAGCACATCGAGCGCTGTTGGGGAGTCCTCTAACTGTCTTCCGCTCATTTTGAGGAGTATAAATGTCCTCACAATTCCCCCGGTCTTCTTTTTGAGAAAAGAGCAAGAAAGCTGGGATGCTGTTACCATGCTGTCGGGATTTGATATGGACGTTGTTGAAGATTATGAAAGCCTCGATGTTGAGAGGTACCACGCACTCACGGTCAAAGGTAAGGATCTAGCAGAATTCCTTAAATGGATAACTTCAAATCTTATTTTTGATTTCGGAAACTTCGAAGCACGACATACTACTCGCTCAAAGATATCTGAGGAAGATCATTTTTATCACGACGGGCCATGTGTTGAGACAGAGCCATCCGAGCTGATGTTGAAGATTTTTAAAAGTGTTTTTCCTCTCAGTCTTCGTGTTAGCCTTGATGAATTGCGATTTGGATATTCCGAAACCAACATTGAGTCATCAAAGAAGATCGACGAGAACACGGTCGATAACCATCTAGGGTTTTTGGGTCAGTTGAATGAAGGTAACGAGAATGATCTGCCCGATATTAAATCTATTTTTTGGGATAGTATTTACCATGAAAGCCCTGAAAATGAAAGGAATGCAGAGCTATACACCAAGCATTTAACTGAAGCTGAACAGAGATGGAGTTCGCGGAAGAATGAAGATCATGCTACCCTTCCTACCTCTGACGCAAAAGTGAAGATTTTGAAGCCAAATTCGGAAATCATCAATATTGATTTTGTGGGTTTGAGATTCTGGCGCTATCTCAACCTCAAGCCTGTCAACCACGAACGAACATTTCAGGTTCTTCTTATTTCTCCAACGACGACGGGAGCATTTGATAACGATGTTTTTGAACGGGGAAACCTTTCGTTTCTCAGCCTTTTGAAGAACAATTACAAAAATAATCATTTTGGGGATATAAAGAAACTATCTTTGCTGGCTCCTGAGAATAGAGCAGACCTTGAAGGAGTTTCGAACGGAACTATCTTGTTGGAGCAATCCGAAGCTGAATGCGGTTACACAAAGTTCTATCATCGGTTGGGAAAAAGACTTCGTGCTTTAGCGGAGTTGATCAAGTTAGATCTTATCAACAAGAATAACAGATTCGATTTTGACAGGCCTTTGCTTCTTTTGTTCATCAACTTTGATGACACCATAGGCTCGATTTCACAGCTTTCGAAGATATGCAGAGACTTTCAGGCGTCTTTAAATATTCACCAACTCTCACTTGTCGAAGTTTTGTCTCATGTGATTCCTTGGCAGAGCATCCTAAAGCTGGCTAACAACCGAAGGAGACTCAAATATTTATCGAGCGCTGAGCTTACTAATTTATCGATGATGCTTTACAACAAGTGTCCGAATAGCAGGATGAGATATTCGACTCAAACGACTAGAGGGACTGCTGGCCTTTTCACAAGGTTGCTCAAAGAAAGACCGCAAAGCTTGAACTTCAAGGTTTCCAATCGCAGGCTCTATAATGATGATGGTGCAACACTTGCCGAGGATCTTTTTCTTCATGTCGCTTATGAGCGGTCCATTGATCGAAAATGGGTATCTGCTGCCTGGTCTGACCCGCATGGCGTGGTCACTTACACAAAGTCATGGTATTGTGCATCAAAACGAGGTGATAATACTAATGGACAAGACATCGGTCAAATTATCAGCGAATTGTGGGATACGTCTAGCTCCTTGCTCAAATACCTTGGTGATGAAGAATCTCGCAGCGCGTGTGGTACTAGTGGAAAGAGGTTCCTCGTTTTAACTCGTGTGAATAGTATTTTGCCCGATGATGAGTTAGTATTCTGGAAACGACTCACCTCGAAGTACAAGGAGATCTCTCTCATTGTGCTTTCGGCAAATCGATTGCCCAAAATCACATTCGGATATCAGGGTAAAGGTGCAACGAATGCTCCAATGGGTGAGCAAAGTCCCGCAAACCCTGACCAAATGGCTGTCAATAAAAGCTACAACATGTGTGGACTTGGTGGTACTGATCTAATTAAGGCATTTCCAATACCGTACACAAGTTCTCCAGGTACTAATGAGATCAACAATATTGCCTCACCAATCAATTCAAGTACTTTACATGTTCATTCCCCGCATCAGTTTGTGAATGCCCCCGGAAACTTCTTGAGTCCACAAGATAGCGGAGTGCAGAGTCATAATGGAGAATCCAATATCATTGATGAGCACAATCTCTATATCCGAGACAAGAACCTTGATGTTGTGGGCTTTGTTCCTCAAACTTCACTACCTTGCTCCAATTCTCCGACGAGGCTAGGAATGAAAACAGGATATTTGATCAAAGAAATTGGAGACGAGGAATCCACTAACTTCATGACCTTCGAAGTCTCGCTCTTGAGCTGCTCATCTCAATGGAATCTCAACACCATCATGAAAATTTTGCTCAATCAATTCAAGAAGCTTATTCATCTAAACTACATCATTGGAATTTGCCCACTCACAAATAAAGATGAAACTACAAGTTCTGCCCATAGAACGAAACTCCGCAGCATGACCCCGTGGCACATCAATGCCATTGGAAAGAGTTTGGATTACTTGGTTCATGTTAGCGTGAATGATGATGTCTAAAATTTTCAGTGAGGACAAAACGAATACATACACCAAAAATCTGCATCAATTATCGAGTATGTAGCTGCTGTAGATAACCTCGATCCTGCACTGGGGCGCCGTGATATCAACAATTAGTCGCGTTGTTTAGCTCAGAAGGATCTCACTATCACTTACACGCGTTAAAATTGAGCTGTCCTCCGTCATATCATGGATCGTGAAGCTACCCAGGATATTCTCAACAAATACCTAGGGACGCAATCCTCTGCGGAAGAATGCAAACCTTATATCGAAGAAGGGTATGATACGGACCCATTGATGGATCTTTCCAATTACTCAATGGCTGGTAAAAAGGCTCCGCCGTCCAGGTTCACATCACCAGCTAAATCCTACGATAGTCCAAATAAGCAATTGCAACGTCTCAGAGGAAGTCCCTCGAAGCACCCATCGGGACCATTCCAAGAAAAAAGTCGAAGCACCGTGCAACAAGACTTTGATCTTTCATTCCTTGATGACCTCGAAAGCATATCAAATGATCAGTTTCACGCCAACAAACATGAAGCATATACTTTTCTCCCTGATACCAAGTACTCACTGTTTATATCCAATTCTGCAATGAAACTCCGGAAAGCACTACAAGCTGAACAAGAGAAGAACAGAACCCTCGAACAAACGAATCGGGAACTCGAAATTCAATTATCAGAGGCTCACGAAATACGGGCAAGTCATGATAGACTCATTCTGCAAGTTCGCGGGCTCCAAGATCGTAATGAAGAACTTGAAATGGAAATTCTAGGGAAGGATCTGAAACTTCGTGATTCCAGTCTCTCGCAGGAGAATGTTTTGCTACGACTGAAGCTCGTGAAGTACAAAACCTTGTATGAGAGCAGTATCAAGGATCATGCTGATGATAAGCGTCTTCTAAAGGCTGAAAGTGTATCGGCGCAAGCTAAGGTAGACAAGGTCTCCAAAGAAGGTCTTGCGGTAAAAGGTGACGAGAACATAAACCTGAAAGACTTGAAGGCTTTACTAGAAGGATTGTCATCTCTCACACGAAAATTAGAGGAAACACATACAAAGCATGCAACAGCGTCTCAAGCTCAGACCAGCCATTGTGACGAGCAAGACGATGAATTTGAGTCCAAGGAAGAGAAGATCAATGGGCGAAGTACAAGCGAGAATAAAGATAATAATCCTCATACGTGCTATGATTTGTCGCCGGCTGATGAAACCCTGCACGATGCAAAAGTCAATTATACGAATCAAATGCAGCATGTGGCTGATGTAATAGATCAAGTGTGTTGCGAAATCAGGAAAATCAATGCCACACTACAGGATCAACAGCCCATCAAAAACGCCAGTCATTTTCGAAATGACAAACGACCCTCAAGTGATAAAAGTTCTTGCAGCGCCTGCTCAAATGCAGCCAGTCGACTATCGACGAGACCCAATTCATCATCCACTCCACACGTTGAGAATGAAGGTAATGACGCAACGAGAAATTTGATGGGTAGATATAATTGGAACAAGACAATTTAGATGCGACAAGAGGGGAGATTAAGGTTTTTGATATAAAAAGCAGCTCCACGCTTCTATTGTGGCTTGCGGAGGGGTTCCGTTTTTTGACAGAAGCCTTCACCGAATTGGGATGGTACAACCCAAGCATTTATTCGCAACGCAACAACACTACTTTGTCAATCACGAATTGTTAAGATGTTATCCACATTTACCAACTGCATTTAGGCGTTGCCGTGAGGCCCAGCGTTATGCAATCATTGGAGCGACGCGCTGAGGTTAAGCGCGCTGCTTGTTTATTTTGAGAGCTAGTAATACGGCAGCAAAGCAATACACTGTGAGAAACTGGTATTTAGGGTACGCTAACAATGAAATTATAATTCAATACTATGTCGCAAAGTCCCTTCGTTCTCTGTCGTAGGCGTTAGACAAGCAATTCTTGAGAACTACGATTTTCGGCTAACCGCTTATGAGAATGCAACAACGTTCCTTGGTATAGCAGGGCTCAATTTACGTCGCTTAATTGTACATCATCTGCGTCACGACTCTACGGACATTGTGTAAAAGGAGTTGTAGAAACGGCTTCGCGAGGATGAGGAACATTCAAGAGACGGCCGAATTCTACCAAAACAGATCTTCATGGGAATGTAAACTTTTTAAGTAATAAGTTTCATTCCGTCTCCGATCCACGCTGGGGTGCATCATTTTCGACGCTAGCAAAGTTGTAGGGCGAATCAGAAACTTTGTTGATCAAACGCCTCAATTAGGAAGGTGAATCGAACTGTTGCCTCGTTCCCTCGCATTTCTCACGCCGAAATTCCTTCGATTTGTCCTAAAACGCGAAGCACAAAGACGCCAGCCTTCCTCCAAATCATTTCTTTTTTTATTTTTTTTTTTTTGTTTTCCTTGCGGGTCTGTTATGCAAAGGAGCGAATTGTTCTTGCTCGCTGTATTTACCTTTCCGAATTAATCGATCTCTTCCCAATCTGCCTGCCTTGTCAGTGTGCCATACACCCACCGACACTTGCTTGTTCCTATAACAACCTTTTTTAACACTTTTTAACTTCAATTCAAAGGAGCTGTGCAAGCCACGAACTTAAATTAAAGCATTAGCTCGTCAATAAAACAGAGGTTGTTTCTGTATTGGTGCACCTTCACTTTGAGCCCTAGTCAGTGACATTTTTTGTACGCGCCAAAAGTGAGAACCTCCTTCCCACACTTACTTTTGGCAAGAACTGGTCAACACAGCTTTTGAAAAGAGGTCTGCAGCACAGGCATCCATCATGTCATCTGCGACTAATGAAAACGAGAATAAGCGGGACGGTCTCGACGCCTGGGTCTCCCGAGCGAAGGCTAAGAACCAAGATACAATTCATCGGCTGAAGGAGGCTACCCATAGAAATGGTGCCAAACCCAACCACAAGGCCACCCAAGAACGTCAGTATTTGGGTGACGTGTCGTCACAGTATGGGGCGTCCCGTTCAGCAACCCGTCCAACCGCCAGAAGAAAGCCTCTTGGAGGAGGAGAAGGAGCACCCTTGCGCCAGCAAACAAGCGAATTGGGTGCCCACAATATATCAAAAGATATAAAGGTTGCTCAAACTTCAAAAGATAGAAAATCTCAGGCTGTGACCGCTGGGCTGGTACTGGCGCCGTTGGCAGAAGAGCCTCGTGGTCTCCCGAGGAAAAGACAAGCCACAGAGTCGAGCACCAACTTGGTCGAGAAACTCCATATATCAAGTGAGACAAGTGTGGCCAAGTTCAAGAAGTCTAAGCGTATTGATTATGAGTGGCAGGATCTTGACGAGGAGGACCATGACGATCCATTGATGGTGAGCGAATACGTCAACGAGATTTTCCCATACTTGCACGAGCTCGAACAAAAAACACTTCCCGATCCAAACTACCTCTTTGAGCAGACCCAACTCAAACCTAAGATGCGCTCGATTCTTGTTGACTGGCTCGTAGAGATGCATCAAAAGTTTCGACTTTTGCCGGAAACTCTCTTCTTGGCAATAAACATCATGGATAGATTCATGTCCGTTGAAGTTGTTCAGATAGACAAGCTTCAGCTTTTGGCCACAGGGTCACTTTTCATTGCTGCAAAGTACGAAGAAGTCTTTTCACCATCAGTGAAGAATTACGCTTATTTCACTGACGAATCTTATACTGAGGACCAGATCCTTCAAGCAGAGAAATACATTCTCACCATCCTCAATTTTGATCTCAACTACCCTAATCCGATGAACTTCTTGCGTCGAATCTCAAAGGCTGATGATTACGACGTTCAACTGAGGACTCTCGGCAAATACCTCCTTGAGATTTCTATCATTGACTATCGCTTCATCGGTATGCTTCCGTCGCTCTGTTCCGCAGCTGCTATGTACATTTCAAGACTCATACTCGGTAAAGACCCTGTCTGGAATGGAAATTTGATCCATTACTCTGGAGGATACCGCGTTAATGATATGAGAGAATGTATTGAACTCATAGTTCAGTATCTTGTTTCCCCAGTGGAACACGATGAATTCTTCAAGAAATACGCTACACGGAAATTCATGAAAGCAAGCATTGTTTGCCGCAGCTGGGCGAAGAAGTTCATGGCAGAAAAGAAGGATTTATTCGACGAGCTGCTTTTAACCGAGAAGATTTCTAAGTGATCCTAGTCTTTACTCACCCTCAAGAAGTTCATGAACCACCCCTTTCACCTTCAAACGAGATCGATGAGATCTTTCCCTGCATTTTCATTTCTGTCATGGCAACATCAGAGTTGGCACTGCCAAAGATGGTTTCGCCTCAAGGATTTTGACAAGTTACATCGCTTTTTTCCGATTCATACCTCACGACACTCATTCATACAACAGCACTTCCCTCATTTCATAATATTGTTGAGCCGATCATTTTGAGAATTTGACAAAAGATTAGAAGCTGGTATCAAATTGATTTAATAGCTATATAAATTTTCTCAAGCATACATCACTTCATTTGTCACTGTAGTGAAGTTGTTGATAGACTGCATTGGCAGGCGCGAGTAGGAAAACTTGATATATACATCAAGTTTTGACGCGTATGCTCACAGAGGTTTTGATAAACAGCCCTCACAGCCATGAGTGCGCTTTTTGAAGAAACGAACTTCCTTATCATAGACTCCCATTCCAAAGACAATGAGATCTCTCTCTCTACAATTAAGGAGATTATCTCAAGGAACGGTGGAAAGTCCGTTCCTCTGACCCCAGAGTCGTCATTAGATGACATGAGCAAGAACAATATTTCCCACATAATAACTTGGGACTACGACTTTACTGGGCTTTCACGAGCTCAAGATCTTATGTTGCCAATTACTTCACCGCAATGGCTTCAGGATTCTGAGCTGGCGTCGCAAAGAAAAAACTACAGACTTTATTCTCCTCGCCCGCTACCGTTTATGGACAAGGTCGTAGTTTGCATTGCTGATAATCTACCTGAAGGGGACAAGGAGATGATGTATGCTGGCGTGCGAGCTTTTGGAGGCCAATATCTCGACTCTCTATCCCGATACACCACACACTTGATAGCGAACGATCTTTCAAACAATAAGAGCGTCCTTGCTGCCAACATAAAACAACGTGAAAATCTCAAAATACAAATTGTTCTACCGCACTGGCTCGACGACTGTTTCAGAGAACAGAAATGTCTCGATGAAAAGCCTTATCGACTTTCGGACCCTGTCACTCTTCGAACGGGTAAACCTAATTTTGAAATAAGGGGCACAGTTGCTGATTCGATTTTTGATGACGAAGCTTCGTCTGCCTCTCAACCGAATGATGCCTCGGACGTGCTTCAAGGTAAACACGTGTATCTTGCCCCTGATCACTCATTTAGTGAACATTTTCGTGAGTCCATTCACGAATTAATACAGCTGCATGGCGGTGTTGTCATGAAAGAGTTTGATCCTTCACAATTAAATGTTTACGTCGGGAAATTTCGTGAGGGCTCTGAGTATCAACAATGCGTCGACTCGGGGCATGTGGAGGTCGCAAGCTTAAGATGGCTATATCAAGTGGTCGTTCGAAGACAATATATCACACCTTTAAGCTCAAACCTACTAAACTTCCCAATTCCCAAGACCCATGTCCCAGAGTTGTCCGGGGCGAGAATCAGTGTCACGGGCTATAGCGGTGATGCTAGACACTACTTATCACAGCTCATTTCCATCATGGGTGCTCTGTTTACCAAAACTCTTGATTCACAAAATAATTACTTGGTTGCCGAAAAGCATAGAGGTGAGAAGTACATGGCGGTAAGAAGCAGATGGCCTGATGTTAAGATTGTGAACCATCTATGGATCGAACACTGTTTTGCGAAATGGAAATACATCGATCCAGCAAAAAGTATTTACCAAAAGGTGAATGAAGAGACCCCAAAACTTGGCACGGCTATCATCGATGATACCCTTCTCGGAACTTCCTCGAGGAAGGAGACATCGCTCAATATTGATGATAGCACCACAGATGTTCTCGATGCAAGATCTGAAACAGGTGAGAAGATTGAGAACATCGCACTTGCATCAGATGAACAAAAGGCCTCTTCTGAAGGAGGTGATCATTTAAGTCTACCCTCTGAAGACGTTGAAGTCACAGGCGCCCAGTACTCAACAGCTGGATCTGTTTCCCAGAAAAGTGAACAGCCAAAGGAAACTGTTGGCTCTCGCTTGAGCCGATCAGCAAAGCAAAAAGCAACCTCAAAGCTTCACAGTGATATGGAGGATCTCAACAACTATGCTTCAATATTGAAGTCAACGAGAAAAATGAACAGTTATATGAAAGACTTGGAGTCTAGTATTGAGGCTAACAAAAAAAGGTCAGCGAACTCCCCTGATGATCACTCAGAGATCGAACTTAATAGTAATGGTCAAGATAGTCCCCGAAGTGGGACGCCGTTGGCGAAAAAGAGGAGAAAATTGGAAGTGCTTGAGCAAACCGCGATTATGACTGGGTGTGAAGCTGAGCTTACCTTGAATCGAGCAGACGTTGTGAAACTTGCGAGAATAGGCTTGAAAATTGTTAATGACTACGAGAGCCAAAGAAAAGTTGACCTTTTAGTCGCCCCAAAAGTTTTGAGAACGGAAAAATTTCTCAAAAGTCTATCACAGTGCAACAGCATCGTACATCCACATTATCTTTCAGATTTATTGGATTCGATTCAATTGAATCCTGATAAATCACCAGATGAAATTTTAGCCTTGCATCTGATCGAGAAGTATTATTTGGACGCAGTCGTACCTGTGAAACAAATAAATGAAGACTTGGGTGTAAGCGCAAAAGAGAGTGGTCTCACACATTTACTCAACTCTTCAAATAAGGGCTCAGTCTTCCAAGATTTGAGGTTGAATCTATCAGCTAATTTGAATGGTGGTCCAGATTTGATCGCGAGCATCCTAAAGGAACATGGAGTCCAGGAGACTAAAAAAGTAAAGGTCTCCATGAATGTCAAGAAAAACAGTTTGCTAGCAAACGCCAATGGCGAAGTCATTTTGATTGCTCACAAAGAAAAGGATAAGAGATCTTCGAGGACGCTAAACGCTGAGGGAGTCATCATCGTTGAGTGGGATTGGTGTGTCAAGTCTATTTTCAAACTGAAATTGGATGAATACCCTGACTACTTAATATCCTTCGATTGAGTCAACATTCTTAAAAAATCTAATAATACATAGACTAACGCCTACCATATGCAACAAGGGGAGCACGTAGATCGCGCCTCGATTGGCGTCTGATATCTCTATATATCAATCAAGCTTGGCTCACCTTCTTTCGAATTTCCAAATCCAAATCCAGTAGGGGCTGGGTCAATTCTACGAGGTGCTTGCAGTCCATTCTGGTTTTGCATTTGAGGGCCATTTTGTCCGGTTGCACCAATACCGGTATTGAGGAACGGATTTCCTGTTGCATTCGAGCTCAACCGCATGTCATTTTGTGCTTGCTTGTAGCCCGTGCCACTAGAATTGATGAATGTACCAGTCTTTGTATGCTGGTGTGGTATTCTGGTGGCTCCAGTATTGCCAAAAGTGTCAACACCTGTACCAGTAGCCAAAAGGTTGTTGAGTTCGTGAGAATCATTGAATCTGGACGAGGATGTGGCCTGCTGCTTGAGCTGGGGAGCGGGTTGCTGGGCTGGAGCCTGGGATTGTGGCTGTGTAAAGAATGATGGCTGGTTCTGAGACATCTGATTTAATGACTGCTGCTGCTGCAGTTGAGGCTGAGATTGCTGCTGTGACAGAGAATCTTGCAAAGCAAAAGGATTGTTAGATCCTGTTTTTAGAGGTTTCAACTCTTCAGTGTTATTTGCCGCAGAGGGATTTGCAAAACCGGTGAATTGGGGAATCTGAGGTTGAGAAAACTGCTGTGGTTGTTGTTGCTGAGGGTAGAACCCCGTGTTCGAGGCTTGAATTGGGTTCCCGAACATGTCAAACTGCTGTTGCTGTTGAGACTGCTGCTGTGGGAAGTATGAGAATTGCTGGTTGTATTGAGGCTGGAACTGCCCAGTTTGATAGTAGTACTGGGGCTGCTGCTGCTGCTGCGGGAAGCCATAATTGTCGTTGAGATCCAACAAATTATCGTTTTGCTGGTTCTTAAGCTTTCTCATCTCCTCCTCCTCAAGCGAGAGCTTCAATGCCGCCTGAAGCTCTGGGTCGTCAGCTTCAGTGTTTCTTGTGTTTCTACCTCTCTCTTCTTCAGCGGTCTCACGAGAAAGTTCCAAAGCTCGTTGCAAATCTGAATCGTAGGGGTCCTCGTTTGCAGGTCTCTCTGGTCTTCTTCTCTCCTCGTCTCTTCTGCGACCGTTCGACTTGGCGTTTTGTCTTTCCCTCGTGAGCCTTTCGTCATCACGCAAGAGCGCAACCAACTCCTTAGCCTTCACTCTAATGATAGCTCCCTGATCGTTGCTTGCATCATCAAAGTGCACGAACTCACGTAAGGTTTTCACAATGTATAAATTGTCTTTCGACCAAAGCACACACTTTGTGGATCCAAAGCGTACCAAGTAGTCCAAGACGGTCAATGACTTGGCCACATGACGCCAATTCTTACCTTTATCGTTGAGACGACGATCAAGCATATCCATGATCTCTAAGAACTCCGTCTGATTGTTATAGGTTGCGGCAGCTATCTCCTCCATCTCATACGTGGTAGGACCGGAGGGGTCATTCGAAGTGGCATTACGCACCAAAACTTGGGCAGACAGATAGCCATTCGCCTTATTTTTGATAGTTCGAACGATCTTAGACATGGTCTGATGAAAAGGGTTGGGTTCTGTTCAAAGGCTTAAGAATATTAGAAGCGTTAACCGCCTTGCTAGGGGCGGAAGGTGGTTGAGCAGCTAACAAGACCCGTACACCAATGGGTGGTTGAAAAAAGAAACAGGCGAAAGCTTGTCATAGTCGGCTGAGAAAAATTTGAGGAAGAAAATGGGCTGTGTTTTGTTTGGTCATATACTTCGGGTAATTTTTTGTATGCCAGAGTTTCGTGTATTGATGGGTATCGAGATACTTTCTCGGGGAAATTGACAAGTTGCAGCCACTGCGCATCGGGCCGAATGTTGCTTACCGAAATCGCACATCTTATGGACTCTTCAAATGCAGTTATCGAAGAGATCATCACGTAATGAACCTTAGTAGTTAAAACAATTTTTTCTCGATGAGGTGCATTTGTCAGCATCTCCTTTATGAGCTGGTGTCCTTTTATACTTTCAAGTAATCAAAGCTGCTTCAATGGCCCTTCTTTGCTACGACAGCAACTTTTGATCAGCATCTTCATGAAGGTGATGTCTACATATTGAGAATGTCCCTGGTGGAAGTAGGTCTTCAACGAGCTGAACCCAATCTAGAATTGAAAAGGTTGAGTTGACTCGAAATTGAGTTTTTTCTTGATCAAGCAAATGTATCAACTGACGAATTTCAGTGAAGCTAGTGTAGTGAGCCATAGGTTTCTTGGCCAAAAAAAAATTCAACCGTGAATGAATATGTGGCTTTGTATGGACTCATAAAGTCCTATAAAAACACTTACTTCCGTGATATATAGCAATTAAGTGGTGAACTTCTTAACTGCCTAGTGCAGTTCGTATCCTTCGTGGTCCAGTCGTTTCGCAATAGTGCAGCGTAATCGTCATTTGGTCTAAAAATCTAAATGGCGGTCGTAAAAATTCAGAACGCCTCAATTTGTGATAAAAATCGGTTCACGTCTATGATTCAAGCGAAATAACCAAATTCCGAAAAATAGATGACACCCGAATCTTCCGGTTGACCTAAATTGAGGCTATCTCATATCAGGGTTCTTCTCCACGCTATCTGTCAATTAGTGCGTGGGTGCGAATGCGCTCCAAAACACAAAAAAACGTCTCTCCTGCACCGCGAATTCAATATCAAGCGATAGTGGATCCAAAACCTATCACAAACTTTTGGGAGTATTCGACATTTGGTGCTGTAGAGGGTGTAGTTTACTGCTGACTAATCAAACGCCATCCAACTAGTAATGCAAGCCACCTGACCTAAAAAAGACGTGCGCGCACCAATTATTCCGGTGTCACCTACATCCAATACAACGTAAAAAAAAAAACCAACATTCGATCCTAATCGGTATCAACACAATCCATACAAAAACGCGCTAATCATCATGATGATGTACGAGGGTGACCTGAGAAGATGTCGTCGTTGCAAGAGGAAGAGAATGGACGATGAGCCTCCCGAAGTTCAGCAATACAAGACCTGTGCCAAATGTAGAATTATCGAGCGCACCAAAAAGAAGCTGAGAAAGCCTTTGGCTGAAGAAACCATGAGATATGGTATGCGCCAGTTCCAAGAACAAAACCAGAATGCCAACTTCATTCATGACGATGTTTTTACCGCCGATCAACTTTTGTCAGATATTCAGGCTAATAGGGATGCTGGGTTGGTGAACCCTTCGAAGCAGCTGTATAACGCACAGTTCTCCGTTTATAAGCAGCCAAATTCCGCCGGTCAGGGTTACAATCAACAGCAGTATGGCCAACAAGGGCTCAACCAGGGCATGGGCGCAGCCTCCCCAAACTATAACTATGCACAGAATTACTCCTACAACGGAGGTCAGCTGGGTATGAGTCCGGGCTACCCTGGCGCTTCAGTTGGTCTGTCAGCTTACCAGCTGCCGCTGATGGGTAACGCGTCACCCTACATCAACAATCCGGTGGCTATCGCCAACGCCGCTACTGGTGGTGTCTTATCATCCGTGGGCCCAAATGCATCTGGAATGTCCAACAATGGGAGGAACCTACAACAGCTTGGGGCAACCTCTACGGCAACAGCGGCTCAAATCGCAGCTGCAGCCATCAATCGCCCTGATGCACAGATCGGTCAACCCGGGTTCAAACTGCAGCAGCAGTACTACAGGCACTACCAACAGAAGCAAGGAGACCGAAGCAGAATAGCGGCCCCCACGTCTTGTGAACTATGTTCTTCCCCATTGGACTTGGAGGATAGCGTTAGCACTGTCTACCGATTGTGTAACGACTGTTACTCCAACCCCTACAGCCGCCCTCACGTTTACAGTGATTTCAATGACTTCCTCCTAGCGATGAGTAATGACAGTGCAGAAGGCTCGTTCACATACATATCTGAGCTAGCCTCTTACTTGGTCGAGTCACTTAATTCAAACAAGCCAATCACTTCTGAACAACAGTTCCGAAAAACCATGTTGGACAGTTTCCGCCTGATTTATTTGGATCCACTATTCGCTTCCTTGTCACCTGCAAAGCTCACGCAAACAAGCAATAACATCTCGGAGTTGAACAACACTGTCCCCATCGTGTCCAAGGTTAGTCAACAAAACCATTACTTATTAACGCCTCCCCTCAAGCAGACATTCGCCACGGCTGACAGCAGCACTAGCGTAGAGCTTTTGTTTGTCACCGAGACCAATTTAATCATCATCAAAAAGATAGCGAAGAAGGCCCAAAGTGAATTCAGCGACAGCTTCCTCAAAAGCCTCGACAACAAGATGCGCAGCAGAGGCTTGTCATTTGAAGACGACGCCTCCAAGGTGTACTCTGACCTTGGACTCACTGTCGACGCAGACCAGTTTGCCAAAAACTTCAAGTCTTTCGAGAAACTGATTAATCAACTTCGTGGCACCGGATCAGTCAAGGAAACCACACCTTCTCAGAATGGCGTCAATGACAAGAAGGCTAGCGAGAGTGATCAGAGCGATAGAGAAGCCAACGAGAGTGACCAAGCGCAAGACTCAGAGTCCGCTGACTTGGGCAAAGATCACCTCGATGATGGTGCAAAGAGTGAAGCGAATGGGCAGGAGGAGCTGGCCGACAACGCCGACCCCAAGGAGGTTGATCCAGCGTTTGGAGCCTGATTTACCTGAGAGTCTGCCATGTACAGAAATAAGAAAAGAAGATACAAGCCAACTGTTAGTTCAGGTATTTAGTTCACAAATATTGGCGCTAGGCCACGGAATGTACTATAGCTTTTACAATCGACAAACTTAATTTTAGCTTCTGATCCGTAAAACACTCTATTCCTTAATACAGCGGTTAAATATAAGCGCGCTTCTCAGGGATCGAAGGGGCAGAGCGATCGCGGATGAGAGAACAGCAAAAAAAAAAGTGAGAGCGTGGAGAGACGTAAAAAAAAGGACCGCATAA